CTCTCGTGGGTTGAGGGTCAGCTGCGCGCGGAGGTAGTGTAGGGATTTGTGGTCTACATTAATGTCAAACTTGAATTTTTGGGCCACATCGTTGGAGTGGACGACATTAAAATCAACCCGTCCGGTCGAAATGGATCAGCGATTCGGAGGAACGGTGGCGACAGTAGGAAATTTCTGAGTTTGTCAAAAGCAGCCTGCTGTCTCTCCCCCCACTCAAACGGAGTGCCTTTCCACAGCAAGTCTGTCAAAGGTCCGGTTGTCCCCGTCATATTAGAGATAAAGCGCCTGACGTGATTAACGAACCCAAGAAAACTTTTCATCTCTTGTAAATTCGTGGGCGACTTCCAATCAACGATGGTGGTGATCTTTTTCGGGTTGATTTTAATGTCGTCTACTCCAACGATTTGGCCCAAAAATTCAAGTTCGAATTTTAGGAATTCGCACTAAGAGCCCTCGGTGATGAGCCGATTCTGCTTCAGTCGTTGAAAAACTTGGTCGAGGTCCTTGAGGTGTTGTTCCCGGGTCTTGCAAAAGATCAGAATGTCATCCAGATAGACGATGGCACACTTGTCGAGTAGATCGCGGAACACACCATTCATGGTCAGTTGGAATGTAGAGGGCGCATTCGTGAGGCCAAAAGGCATCACCGTGTATTCGTAGCTGCCGTAGCGGGTTCAGAACGCTGTCTTGTGGCAGTCGTCAGGAAAACTCGGATTTGATGGTAACCGCATCGCATATCAATTTTGGAGAAGAAACGAGCCCCGCGAAGTTGGTCCAGAAGATCGTCCACGCGTGGGATTGGATAGTGAGATTTGATGGTTCGCCGGTTCAGCGTCCGGTAATCAAAGCACATTTGTAGCCCTCCGTCTATTTGGGGCGTGAACGGAATTGACACTGCGAACGGGGACGTGCTGGGTCGAATGAACCCCTTCTCCACTAGGTAATTTAGCTGGCTTTGCAACTCCGTGAGTTCAGGCTGAGTAAGCCGCCACTGTGTCCTGACAGTTGGCTACGTGCCACGTTCCAGATCAATTTTATGGTTTTGGGGGTGCTCAGGTGGCAATCCGGTTGGCAGGTCATCCGGAAAGATATCCGGGTACTTTTGAATTAGCGCAGCGAGCTCGGTAGGGACACCGGCACAAAGCGTGTCAATGTCCGTTGGCGTGTCGTCGTCCGTCGCTTCGGCTAGATGGACGGCGTACAAATCAGCTCCCCGTTTCACTGCTCGTTGGAGGGTGATGGCATTGACACGTGTCCACACCGTATCCCGCCCGCGCAAGCACGGAAGTACGCGCCACCCGTTCGCACAGTTCACGCTGCATTCGCCAGTTGTCCAATCGATCCTCGGGTTATATTTTTGCAGCCAATTGCATCCGAGAAGGACGTCGCAGTCGTCCAGCGTTATCACCAGCACGGGCACGCTGAATCCGAAGTCGTCGTCACACTTCATTCATACCATGCACGCTCGTTCTCGAATCGCAAATGACGTCCCGTCCACCAGTCGCACGTCAATTTCGGGTAAGCATTTCTCCAATGTCAGCTTCAATTGCTTCGCTATAGTCACGTGGATCAGGCTGTGACCAGCCTCGCCATCTACAAATAACTTTATTCTTTTGCCATTCACCTTGCCTTCGACCAGCATAAGGTGATCTTCAGGTTCACTCCTGTTCTTTGTCCGAGTGCGGTCGATAGCATGTATCGGTACCACAACTTGGTGGGAACGTTGAAGTTCGGGCGACAAAGCCTCGTCAGTAGGGGGCCCGTCTGCTACTGACTTTTCCCATTTCTCGGCTTCTCCTTATCGTTCTTCGTCTTCTTAGGTGTCGTTGGGCAGTACATAGCTCGGTGACCTGGCTTGTCACATCTATAACATAGCTCGTGAAATACTTCATCGGGTGTAAACATGCCATTGATCATGGGGCGGGGAGATTGTCCAAACGACCAACATCCCTGTTGTTCTTTCTCGCCCACTGTTGCAGTGCATGGGCTGCTGTCACCAGTTGGACAGCGTCATTGAATGTCTTGGGCCAGGACCGCTGCAACTCGTACTGAGTATCAAAATCAAGACCGCTAATGTACTTGTCCCGCCTTTCCGCTTCGCTTAGGTCGTCCACTTGGTCCACAAGTGTCGAGAACGACGCAGTGTAATCTTGAACAGTAGTCACCTGCCGCCAGTTGCGCAACTTCATGCTAGCGTTGTTCCAGGCGGATGAGTGCTCAAAGCGAGTTCGTAGAGCTATGCCCCATTGTTTCCACGTGCGAATCGTGGTCGTACTGAATATCGGTTCTGCCTGTTTTGTGGAAGAATCTGAAGTCCCGTCCTTCGCCTGCTTCACGCCTGCCGGAGTCCCAATTGCCAATTGTCGTCGCCACCAATCCAACGCCGGTCCTCGGAGCAGCGACACGACATGAGTATTGCGCGCGTCGTCTGTATGCACACTCGCAGCCATGAATAATAACTCCATGTTGAACAGCCACCCTTCTACCGTCGTCGCCTTGTCCGAAGGGTTGAACGGGGGCGGCGTGGCCGGCTTGAGCTTAATCTTCGTCATAGTCACAGTGCGCATGCCGTCCTTCTCCAACTCCCATGCATATTCGTCAAGGACGGTTTCGCTTGCCGCGTCATTGGCCTTTTGCTTGACATCATTCTCTGCGACTCCAGACGACTCCTGACGCGCTTCACCACGCGTCTGGCGAAGCTCGGTGTTCTCTGTCCGAAGTCTTACGACTTGATTGTTCAAACTCGCCATCTGGGCTTGCATTGCCTGCATCTGAGCCATGACCTCATCGGGTGGGGCCTGAGTCTTGATGCGAATGCTACGCCTTTCCGGCAGGGGGAAGGCCGTGGTAAGAAACCGCAGGGTTTGCATACGCTATCGTAGTTGTGTGAACTAATAACTCTAGCTCACGGACAACCGCTTTGCAGCCCCACAGGGTTAACCATACCTTGGGAATAAACTACTTTGAGAATGCGGGGTGAAACAGGAAAGTAGCTCTCATACCAGATGTTATGAAAAATAATTTAGAGTTCGCGGAATAATAATGACGAGTACAAGAATGGGAGCCTAGCATTATAGAGCGAGATCCCGGAGGGCTAGGTTGGGTACAGGCGCGGTCGAAAGGGCCGGAGGCACCGCGAGCCAGCCTCGGGGTCGCGTCAGAATCGAGCCGAGCCTGGTCTTCCGAGAGTTCGGGTGTACGCGATTACAGTACATCCCGGTAAGGAATAAAAGTCCTTACAATGTGTCTGAAGTGAATAACCTCAGTTGCTACTTTTGTGTTAGCAAGTGCCAATATTACAAGTGTAAAAATGCCTCTTTCGCACCTTTTGTTCTTCAAACTTGTGATTTCATGTTAAGATTGTAGGGGCTATTCTCAACAAACAAATAATGCAAAGAAAGTAAGGGTAAATATTTCATCTGCACATATCAAATATGGAAATGAGAGACATAGGGGTTTTGTATAGGGTGGGTCGTTTCCTTCTATATGCTTGTCAAGTACGGACCGTTTTCAAATGAGAATGATCGGTCATCAGGTGTCCACGTATAGTTGTGGAAAGTCCATTCCCTACTTTCCTGATCTGACAAATACGGTGACGATGTCTTTTCTGGCACAGCACAGTACAAAGGGTGTCCGACTTTAGAACACCCTGTTCACGAGTCACGCTCGATGAATATGGATGGAATTATTGATTGGGGGGTGCATTTTGAAACAGAATCGGACTGAGCATTTTGCGGACATCATGTGTAGCAAGATCGGTTTCTCGCGACCATTGTTTTAACTATCGGCCATTTCGAAGGCTACAAGAATCATTAGGGGACTATTGGCTCTTATGAAAATTGTGACTGGTTCACCCATACTGTAGTAGTCCTTAGCTGTCAAGCACACAGGAGGACTTCCACCTAGACAGAGTTTCAAAATTGTGAAGGAACAGCTGGGCAAATTGGCACGATAATCAAATACATCTAACCCGCGGGAATTTCACACCCTGAAACTAGGCAGCAGAAGAATTTCTGGTTCCACCCTGACCATTTATGATTGCGTAGATAGTACCCCCTTGTTCCTACAGCCTAAGCTTGGCAGGCTTCACGCGCGAAAAAACTTTGGGCACTGCCTAAGCTGACGTCGTGTTTCTTGACTCGAGAAATTCTAAATCGAGCAATAAAAGTTTCGTATAGAATCACAAGTTCAATTTGTTTTTCAAGGGTATCTGGATCTGGTCGACAGGAGCTGCTTTCGGGGGGTGAATACCCTGTCGGCGGCACCCCCTGTGAAAATACTGGGTGTGAGAATACCGCAGGCTAGGTGTACCAATTGATAACTGTACCGCAAGGTCACCGTCTCCATCCGCCCTCAACATCTGGCGAAGTTTCCATGGGCAGTTCTTGTGACCACAGTTCAGAACTGTACCGGACTGTACATATAGAACCATATGGGACTCCCATCATCGATGAGTGAGAAAAAATCTTTCTGTACTGGTTAGGTCAGCACGAAATATCCTGCGATGCCGTACCAGCCAAACGAGTGCAGGCTGGCAGCTTGCAGTAAGCAGCGCGTTATTGTACACAGCTTTGACTTTGACAGCAAGCGAGCTGGGAGAGACCACATGAGAAGGACCCAAAATTATAAAACTGTACCCAATTCATCATTGATTGAATTATTTTTTCCGAATCTTTTGTATGTTCCAGCCAGTACAATCACAAACATGTGGTTATGTTAATTTACGCGATTTCTTCTGATGGTTGGCGTTGTGCGTTTTATTCCAATGATAACATCATTTTATAGCCTTTTTACTTTGTACATTTTATACGAGGGAGATTTTCACAATTTCTAACTAAGGCATTGGATAGGAAGATTGTTCTTCGGGTTCTTATTTGACTGGAATTTCAGAGATTTTTCTCTATAGCGTGGTCCTCCTCCTGTTGCTACTGCTGGAAGCGGGTTGTGGGCTGAATTTGTTCCTTTAGGCCCTGCTGAAATCGTTCTCCTGCCTTTTCCGGCAAGCCTACTGCAGGTGCAGATACTATCACCTCCGCCTAACACCTACCCGAACACCTCCGCCTCTCCCCTTCAGCAATGCTCCTCTCCCTCCTCCCCCCTCCTCCTACTCTCGGCGGCAGCGCTTCTGCCCACATGCGCGCACAGTCCGCACCCTTTCGCCCGTCGGCACAACCCTCCACATCAGTCCCCTCGTTATCAGTCCTCTCCACATCAGCCCTCTCCGTATCAGTCCCCTACATATCAGCCTTCAACTCGCGCCGCTACGTAACTCCTTTCCTCCGAGGAGTCGTCGTCTCGAGGCTTCACGCAGGAGGCTCCGGAGGGGGAGGGGAGGAGAGACCGAGAGAGGACAGCTCGACGCAGCTGCCTGGACCACTTCCAGGAGATATCCCCTCCTTTCCTATTCCAAACTCCGTGCCGCCTTTCCGGGGGTCGCCTGATTTTCCTGGCATGCGCAGCGTAGATTCCGGCGTTGCTCCCCTTTCCGGCGTATCCAAGGATGAATCTTCTTCTGTGTGGCCCAGCCTGGCTGCGAGCACTCTGAGCGAGCTCGATGGCGTCGTCGAGAGGAGAAATGGAAAAGGAGGGGAAGCGGCGAATGAGGGAGGAGGGGGTTCGGGAGATGAGGAAGAGTGTGGATCGGATGATGCAAGGGCAGCAGGACTAGCAGGACCGGCAGCGGTACCAGCGGGACCAGAAGCAGGACCTGCAGCAGGACCAGCAGCAGAACCAGCAGCAGGACCAGCAGCAGGACAAGAGCAGACGGTTGGGGTGAAATGGCTGGCCAAGGCGAGACAGCAGGCGCTTCCGCCTGATGCTGGGGACAGAGGGATGGAAGCTGGCAAGAGTTTGTCTGGTGGTGAAGGACAGAGTGGGAACGGAGGAGGAGGTGGAGGTGAGAGCTCAGAGGAACCGAGGGGAGTTCGGAGGAGCCCGGAAGATGGCGAGGTTGTTTTGGCGGCTGAGGTGGAGCGGTTCGTCCAGGCGTTTGAGGAGCTCAAGAGAGAGGCGGTATCGCTTGGCATTCCGGGGTATGCTCTCCCTCGCGTGGAGAGGGAGGAGGATCCCAGGGCAATGGTTAAGAAGCTAGTGGAAGCTCGCAATGAGGTTCTGGGAATCATGGCGTCTCGGCTGAGCTCTAACCTGTAAATAGCATTGCATTAAAGGGTGGAGTTGCTAGAAAGGTTGAGGTTTATGGAATGTTTACACCTTCATGATGCTTGTATGAGTGCCGGTAATTTCAATTTACTGTAGAATCTTCAGAAGAAATGCGCAGATCGCCGCGGCAACTTCAAGCCTTTCTTTAGCGAGTCCAAGTTCCAGCAACTTTGGTTTATGTGTGTGTGTGTGTGTGCGCCCACTGAAGCTCCTCACAGAGTCAAACCAGGTACAGTATTCTTGCACCGTGTAACCCAACCACAAAGTGCGGGGGCGTATCCGCTCCCCTTCACTCATGAATCGTCACCGCGGCCCCGCGAATCGCCCCGCCGCGAATCACGCCGGTTGGCTGTCGTGCACAGTGAGCGCCGTGTTCTCGGTGGTGGCGGCGGCGGAGTTCGAGATCCTGTTTGTCGCCTTCCTCGCCCTCGTCTACCTCCTCGTCCGCGACCTGGTGAGACATGGTAGACGGCACGCATGCCATGCATTTGAGATACCCTCGACATGGTAGATGGATCCTGTCCGCCTGTCGTTCGGAATCCTCCTCACTCGTCGCCCTCGTGCACTCGTCTACCTCCTCGTCCGCAAACCGGTGAGATCTGGTAGACGGCACGCACCAACTTAAGAACACGACCACGTCAGTGTGTAATGAATCGGGCACGCACCAGCTTAAGAACACGACCACGTCAGGTTTCCCAATGTTCCTTCAATTGATTCACTCAGGTCCCCACACCCCCCCCCCCCCCCCCCCCCCCCCACCCCCTCTTCCCCCCTCGCGTCACCCATACCGCTCGTGTCATTTCCGCCGACTGCAGCTGCTGCAGCCGCGGTTCAGCGGTATTTTCGCGCACAAGTCCAGCCAGGCGGAGTTTGGGTTCCTCTTTGGCGGGGGGCCCGCAAGGGGGGGCGCAGCTGGGGGGGCGGGCGGAGGCTTTGGCGGAGGGCAAGCGGAAGCCGCGTTCTAGTCCCTACCCTAGCGTTGCGCTTCGTGGTAGGGGGTTTTCCAGCTGCTGCTGCTGCTGCTGCCGCTGCTGCTGTTGAGGGGGGGGGAGTGGAAGGGAGGAGGGGAAGATTGGAGGCTGGTTGGAGGTAGTTTGATCCCGTCACCTTAGCTGGCACGCTCCATTGCGTGCCGCAGCCGCACAAGCGTACTCTCTGGTCGTCTTTCGTTGCCACGTGGCACGTGGAACGCGGCACGTGGCACGTGTGGCGCGTCGTGCACCCAGCCAGTGTGTGCCTTTGCAGCACCACCATGTTCCGCAACACTTTCCAGTCAGGCTTCCTCTCCATTCTCTACAGCCTAGGGTACGTGCACGGTGCACCTACGCCTGCCCCCTCCTCCTCTCCTCTCCCCTTCAATCCCTACGGTGATAGTTTAGTCGACTTAAAATATCACCTCCAGCAATGCATGTGTGCCTCCGGCACCTTGTGTGCAACGCTTTGTGGCGTCATCCTTCATCGCCATGTACCGCAACACTCTCCATTCGGGTTTCCACTCAATCCTCTTCAGCCTAGGGTACGTGCGTGCTTCTGTATGCCCTAGGCTGCTCCTTGCTTCCTCAATGAAACCAACACTTGAGTTTCTAACACGTGCACCGTCGCCCCATCACCCCATACGCATATCCGCCCCCTTCCGACCGCCTATCCCTTCCTCTTCCCTACCCCTTCCCCCTGCCTACCCCTTCCCCCTGCCTACCCCTTCCCCCTGCCTACCCCTTCCCCCTGCCTACCCCTTCCCCCTGCCTACCCCTTCCCCTGCCTACCCCTTCCCCCTGCCTACCCCTTCCCCTGCCTACCCCTTCCCCCTGCCTACCCCTTCCCCCTGCCTACCCCTTCCCCCTGCCTACCCCTTCCCCCTGCCTACCCCTTCCCCTGCCTACCCTTCCCCTGCCTACCCCTTCCCCCTGCCTACCCCTTCCCCCTGCCTACCCCTTCCCCCGGCCTACCCCTTCCCCCTGCCTACCCTCTCCCCGGCCTGCTCCCCCTTTCCCTTATGCGTCGTCGTCATTTTCTCCTTTTCTTCCCGTCTCTCCCCCCCAACCACCCTGCCCACCCCCCTTTTTGCCATTTTAGAAATTTCTAAAAATCTCCCTGCCCCTTCCACTTCCTGGTTTTGCTACGCGTGGCACTCATCCCACTATCGTCAGCATCTCCCTTGCATGAAAAGGACTCTTGTGGTGGCGGGGAGATGTTTTTTTTTTTTTTTACACGCCTTAAAAATCACATCAGAGAGACTCTGTCGCAACTCCCTTGTGGCAGCGGGGAGATGCCGATTAATCGGAGTGACTTAGCTCTCTGCTTGCTAGGTCGGCTCTCGTCCCAGCCTTCATTGCGTGCTGCTCATTCCTCAGAGCTAACCTAACCTCCGTGGAATTCCCGTCTGTTTGCGTTTCCTCTGCCCTCCGCCCTCTCATCCAGCACCAAGCCCCTTCAGCTATGGGCCAAGGAAGGTACGCCATCCATGCCATCCATGCCATCCATGCCATCCATGCCATACATGCCATCCATGCCATCCACGCCATCCATGCCATCCACGCCTCCTCTGCTGCTTCACCTCTTGCACTGCCACATTACAAATAACTGCCCAACTTCACATTCCGTTTCTGCTCTTTCTCTCGCCCCCTCTCTCTTCCATTCCAACCCCATCACCACTCCCCATCTCAACTGGATGCCCTTTCTTCCCCCCCTCTCTTCTCCTTCCCGTGTGCCGTTTTGCTCTCCTCATCTCCCCCCTCTCTCCACACCTCCCCGAATCTCCCCCCACGTCCACTCTCCCAGAGGGCGAGGGCACGCTCAAACGAGTAACTGACCCGGATATTCAGCCGTCTGTCCGCCATCGAGCTGCTGTCCCACAACATCCGCACTGCGCTCATCTTTTCAGGCGCCTCAAATGCATGCTCCCCCCATCTTCCCCCATCTACCCCCATCTACCCCCATCTACCCCACTCTCCACACCCCGTTTCCCATGTGCCATTCTGCTCCCCCCATCTCCGCCGCTCTCTCAGAGGGCGAGGGCACAATCAAGCGAGTGACAGACCCGGACATACAGTCTTCCGCCATTGAGCTGCTGTCGCCCAACATCCGCACCACGCTCATCTCGTGCCCGCCCGACCCGTCCGCCGCGCTGGGCATCAAGCTGCCGTTCCTGGTGCTCGTGCTCAAGCCGCTTGACCGCTTCCTCTCCTTCGAGGTCACCCTCATGGACGACAAGAATGTCAAGCGCAGATTTCGAGCCTCCAACTACCAGGTGGGGTGAGGTTTGGAGGTTTCTTTTATGTGTGTGCATGTTGTTGGTTTGGGGTGGCAGGGTGGGGGAGGAGAGGAGTGGTGAGGGGTGGGAAGGCGGGGGGAGGGGCCTGGTTTGTCGCGTCTGTGCCTGGCATGTCTGTGTTGGAACTCAGTGCTCTTCAACCTCCAGGTCTGGTTCGTTTCCTACCCCCTTCCCTCTCCCCCCACTTGTCCTCTGTTTCCCTCTCTCCCCCCGCCCCGCCACCCTTCCCCAGTCCACCACCGCGTGCGTCCCTTTTATTTGCACCTTGCTGCTGCGCCTGGAGGGGGGTCTCGCCCCCCTTTCTCCTTCCCACTTACCCTCTGCTCCTCCCCTTTCCCCTTTGGCCATCCAGTCCACCACCCGAGTCCGTCCGTTCATCTGCACCATGCCTCTGCGCCTGGAGGCGGGTTGGAACTCGCTGCTCTTCAACCTGGCGGACTTCACGCGCCGTGCGTACGGCACTGGCTATGTGGAGACGCTGCGCGTGGCCGTGCACGCCAGCTGCCGCCTGCGCCGCATCTACTTCTGCGACCGCGTGTACTCGGATGATGAGCTGCCTCCGGAGTTCAAGCTCTTTGTGCCCTCCAAGGTGAGGGGGAACCAACCGGCTGCCTGTCTGCTTGTCTGTGCTTTTCGTTTTCCGGGTGCCGCCTGCGCCGCATCTACCTCTGCGATAGGGTGCACTCAGACGATGAGCTGCCTCCGGGGTTCAAGCTCTCTGTGTCCTCCAAGGTGAGAGGAGACTGGGCGTGCTGGTTACCTGCCCGGTTGTCTGCGGTTTGTTTTCACCGGCTGCCGCCTGCGCCGCGTCTACCTCTGTGTGAGGGTGTACTCACAGGATGAGCTGCCCCCTGAGTTCAAGCTCTCGGTGCCCTCCAAGGTGAGAGGAGGGAGGGGACACTTGGCGTGCTGGCTACTTGTGTGCAATTGGGTGTTGTCGGATGATGAGCTTGCCCCGAGTTCAGACTCATTGTTTCCTCCAACGTGTGGAGTGGGGACTAAGAGGTGACTGCTCACGCGACGGGACCGCCTGTCTGTGATGTCTTGTGTATTCATGTGATGCTTCCCTCACTTGCATGCACACGTTGGCAAGAGTGGGCAGGTGTGCCGGTGTGCGCTCGCACAAGCATGCGTGCCCGCTTCCTTGGCCGTTTAGTCGCACGCATGTGCCATGCGCGTGCACACGTGCAGACACACACACACACACACACACACACACACACACACACACACACACACACACACACACCCACACACACACCCATGCACACATGTGCACCTGCCTGTACCTACACCTGCACTGCCCAAACGGCATTGTAATCACTTGCCTTCCGTTGTTGTTACCCAATTTTTCTTTCTTGACGACCGTATCAGGTGAAATAACTGCATAGTCGCCGTGTCAGTTCTGCGGCAAATTGTCCCTTTCCTGCCCTTCGCTTATGTGCTCCTTAGTTCGTCACTCGCTTCCAACCGTCCCTTAGGCCCTTAGAGACCTTCATGTGCCATGCATGCCATGTCTCTCTAAGTAATGTTACAATTTGGTTCACTTCAATTGCTTTTCTCTCTTGGATCCTTGAACTCGTGTTGGGAAAGTATGCAATATCGAATGGACGAGATCATAACGAAGGCACCATATTGAGCAAATGACGGTCGCAGACCAATGAATGAGCGAGAAGTCGCACCACCGACCCTATTTTCAGCAGGCTTCCAGCGATTCTGGAGGCCTTGGGAATGGCTCGGCCAATGGGGTGGCTTTGCGCCACTTTTTTTATGCAAGCATCTAACTTTATCATCTCCGGTATAAGGAGCTTCACTTCTGTTTGGAGACGCTAGCGAGTAGTTTTTTGACACGTGAAGGAGAAAGTGGCTGCAGCGCGCATCTCCCCTTCAACTTCGTCATGATGACTCGGCCCTGAGAAGAAACTTCACCGGGCGCTCATGGAGCTTTGACGTCATCCCCGGAAACAGCTGTCCGCGCGTCTTGTATTTCCTCTCCCGTTGCACACCATTCACTCAGGCAGTTTCCGCCTGCCTCCTCCTCCTTTCCGCGCCCCCCCACTCTTCCCCCTCTCCCCCAGTTATTTTCCCGCGCTTACCCTTGGGCTGGGACCTCCCCCAAAAGGAGAGATTCCTCCTCCCAGAAATCCAACCAACCAGATACCTCTTTCTTGGGATCTCCGCTTTCTTCCACCCAGCCCATTTGAGCGTCAACATAACGCAGGGAAGCATATCCTACAACCGTTCCACCACTCGGCTCGCCACAGAGATCCAAGACAAGCCCTGACAGCGACCTAAGGTCCTCAACATCTCGCGGATTTGCACTGGACGCGTCCGCTTCGCCTTCGCTGTCTCCGACAAAACGCGCTGCTTGCACCACTAGCGACATGGCCGATCCGTCCCACGAGAACGAGCCCATTCTGCGGCCCAACCCGCAGCGGTTCTGCATGTTCCCCATCAAGTACAACGAGGTCTGGGAGTACTACAAGAAGGCCGAAGCCAGCTTCTGGACCGGTACGATCCTCTCTTGACTCCGCCCTTGGGTCACGCTTCTGAAAAAGCCTGTCGCCTGATCTCCCCCGTACATTGTCTCTGGAGGTTACAAGATACGCTCTTTTCGGCAGTCCCTTCTTCTCCTCCCGTTTTCATCCTGCTACCTCTAGTCTCTGTTGCTCGTTCCTCCAATGAGGCCAAGGCTGTCATTTCCGCGTCGCCCACACTTCTCCGCATTGTGCGTATTGCCTTTCTGCGTGCCGCCCCGCTCTACTCCGAATGCTGACTCCTGCTGCGTGATTCCACGCGCTATGCGTCGTGTCTCCCTGCGCGCAGCGGAGGAGGTGGGTCTGTCGCAGGAAGTGCAGCACTGGGGATATGTTTTGGTCGACTCTAATGTCTCGGCGTGTGTCCCACATGCGCTGTGTGTGCGTGCGTGCGTGCGTGCGTGCTTCCGTGCGTGCGTGTGGGTGTGTGTGTGCGTTTATTATGTCTCCCTGCGCGCAGCGGAGGAGGTGGATCTGTCGCAGGACGTGCAGCACTGGGAGGGGCTGACGCCCGACGAGCGGCACTTCATCCTCATGGTGCTCGCCTTCTTCGCCGCGTCCGACGGCATCGTGCTCGAGAACCTCGCCGTGCGATTCATGAAGGAGATCCAGATCCCCGAGGTACGATCCCCGAGGTATGATCCCCGTGGTACGATCCCCCCGAGGTACGATCCCCGTGGTACCGAACGACCGCCGACGTGTACCCCACTGCGGCCGACGGGCGTGACGTCCGTGGTGCCTCGAGTCTGCCCACGACGATCTCTACTGCACTACCATGACGATCGCGCTACTACGTCGAGTCTGTCGCTGTTTGAATAGCTGTTGGATGTACGATTCATCAGTCCGCTTGCCCGGCCCAGCTATACTCTTGCTTGCTATACTCGTTTCCTCAGTGGCCTCCAGTTGGAACAAGAAGCCGTGCCACAGGCTTTCGTTTCCTTACCGCTTCCCCCTGCTGCCGCGCGTGCTTGCTCCTCCTTTCCTGTCTTCCTGTATCTCGCAGGCCAGAGCGTTCTACGGCTTCCAAATCGCGATCGAGAATATTCACTCAGGTACACCCTCGCGCTTCCCGCTGCCCGCTTCCCGCTGCCCGCTTCCCGCTTCTCGCTTTCCCGCTTCCCCCTTTCCGCTGCCCGCAGCCCGCTTCCCGCTTCCCGCTTCCCGCTTCTCGCTTCCCGGCCTTCCCCCCGACCTCCCCGACCTTCCCCTCTCCATACACTTGTTTGAGAGCGCAGCGTGTCTGTGTCGTGTACGCCCGTCGTTATCGTTTCCCACACTTCTTCCCCCCCACCCGCTCCTCGCGCCCCGCCCACCCTCCCTTCCACCGTTGTGCCTCCTTGACCTCTCTCCCCCTCCTCCTCACCCCCTCTCCCCAGAGATGTACAGTCTGCTGCTGGAGGCGAAGGACCCCGAGGAGTGGGACTCACCCACACCCTCTCCCTCTCCGCTCTCCTCGCTTTCCAGCCTTCTCCTCTCCTCCTCTCCCCCCCCCCTCCCCAGAGATGTACAGTCTGCTACTGGAGACGTACATCAAGGACCCCGACGAGAAGGACCGGCTGTTCCGCGCCATCGAGACGGTGCCATGCGTGCAGAAGAAGGCCGAGTGGACCACACGCTGGATCGACGGCGACGCCAGGTGAGCCTCGCCGTGGAGTGATGAGGCCTGGTCCAGCGCCTAGAAAGGAGAATGGCCCAGCGCTCACTTTTCTCTGGTTGGAGAATTGTCTTGGACTTAGGAGAGTGAGGAAAATACCAAGTGAGCCTTAGACTGCATCTACTCCCCACGCCATAACATGGCCTTGAGTTTCACGTCCCTGGGCTGCCTGCCTTTCCCGGCCAACCATCTCACCTCCCTCCCCTTCCCCCCCCCCTCTTTCCCCACTGCCCTTCCTTCCTCACCTCCGCAATCGCCCTTTGCCTGTGGACACCCGTGTGTGCAGCAAGACGACCTTTGCGGAGCGCATAGTGGCCTTCGCGTGTGTGGAAGGCATCTTCTTCTCGGGCAGGTGCTGTGCTGGCATGTGCCCTGCTGCTCTCTGCAGCTCCATGCTGCTGTGCTGCTCCTTTGTCCGTGCTTCTCTGTGACGTGCCACATAAACCCCCCCCTCTGAAGGGTGTCTCATCTTTTGTCGACCTTTCCGCCGCGTCTGATTGCAATCTGCATTCTGATCCTGCGTTGATGCCTTGCTCTCGCATGCAACAATTTCTGCTCTGCTCTGCATCCTCGTCCCGGTCCCTTCCTCTTTCCCCCGCTCCCCTCCCCCTCCCTCCCCCTTTGCTCCCTCAACCGCCCGCCATCCTGCCCTTCCCCATCATCCACCACTCCCGTCGTTCCTTGCTCACATATCTCCTCCTCTGCTCCTTCGTTGCACTCCTCGATTCTCCCACCCTCCCCTCCCCCCTCTTCTTCCCCCTCTCCCCCTTCCCCCAACCACCACTTTCTGCGCCATCTTCTGGCTGAAAACACCTCTCTCCCCTACCGCTCCCCCCACCCCTCCCCTCTTCTCCCCCCACCTCCTCCCGCCTACACCCCCCGCCACCAGTTTTTGCACCAACTTCTGGCTGAAGAAGCGCGGGCTGCCGCTCATGACACACCCCTGATGCAGACTATTGCACTCCGCCTCTCACTCCTGTCCCCCACGCTTCTCTTCCTCCCCTCGCCCTTGCTACTCCCCCCTCCCCCCCTGCCCCCCGCCGCCAGTTTCTGCGCCATATTCTGGCTGAAGAAGCGCGGGCTGCTGCCCGGGCTGACGTTTTCCAACGAGCTCATCTCCCGGGACGAGGGGCTGCACACTGACTTCGGCTGCCTCATCTACTCGTGCGTATCGGGGGGGAGGGGGAGGTTTGGAGGGGGAGAGGGGGGGTTATGGAAAGGGGAGTTTGGGGATTTTAAAGCACACGTACTGCTGTTGCCTCAGCAGTCAACTCAAAAGCTCATTTGGTTCTTTATCTTCTGTGCCCCTCTCACCAGCCTGCTAAAGAATAAGCTGTCAGCATACATATCCTCTGATGGACCTCTCTAAACCGAACGCTTCCTCTGATGGACCTCTCTAAACCGAACGCCATTCCTTCCCCCCCCCCTTCCCCCCGCCCTGTCACCAGCCTGTTGGAGAGCAAGCTGCCAGGGGAGCGCATGAAGGAGATCCTGTGCGACGCGGTGCCTTCACTCTTCTCCTCTCCCCGCCGCCTCCACACCTCGCCTCCATCCACCCTGCTGCTCTCCCTCTCCCCTCCCCCTCCCCCCCCCCCTGTCACCAGCCTGCTGGAGAGCAAGCTGTCGGAGGAGCGCATCAAGGAGATCCTGTGCGACGCGGTGGCCATTGAGGAGGAGTTCATCCGGGACGCGCTGCCCGTGGACCTGGTGGGGATGAACGCCGTGCTCATGTGCCAGTACATTGAGTTCGTCGCCGACCACCTGCTGGTAGGGAGGATGGATGGGGCAGAGAGTAGTGGTGGTGATGCTGCTTGTGGCGGTGATGCTGCTTGTGGTGGTGATGCTGCTTGTGGCGGCGATGCTGCTTGTGGTGGTGATGCTGCTTGTGGTGGTGATGCTGCTTGTGGTGGTGATGCGGCTTGTGGTGGTGATGCGGCTTGTGGTGGTGATGCTGCTTGTGGTGGTGATGCGGCTTGTGGTGGTGATGCTGCTTGTGGTGGTGATGCTGCTTGTGGTGGTGATGCAGCTTGTGGTGGTGATGCGGCTTGTGGTGGTGGGGGGGAAGAGGGTTTGCTGCCCGTGGACCTGGTGGGGATGAATGCCACGCTCATGTGCCAGTACATCGAGCTTGTCGCCGACCACCTGCTGGTATGTGAATCACCGTTACTGGTAATGTTACATGGGGTGATGGGGAGGGAACAGGCTGCTACATGTGGACCTGGTGGGGCATCAACGACGCATTCATGTGCCAGTACATTGAGTTTGTCGTGGCCTACCACCTGCTGGTAATGTGGATGTGATGATGCAATACTCATGTGCCACACCCATGTGCCATATCACACCCACGTGCCGTAACCTGTAAATTAGTTCTCAGCTTGTTGGCCTATCTGTGTGGTTGGTTCGGAAACAATCTTGCCTGCTTCATTCCGATGTAAATACCGTTTTTCCCCCTCTTTTCCTCTCCTCCTCCCCTCCTGTCCTCCTCTCCTCTTTCCTCCTCCCCTCTCCTCTCCCCCCCATCTGCTCTCTCCCTGCACCTGTCTTGACGCAGATCGCGCTGGGGTGCAGCAAGCAGTACAACGCCACCAACCCCTTCGACTGGATGGAGCTCATCTCGCTGCAGTGAGTCGCATCATCCGGGCGTAATAGCCAGAGCTTGGCATCGCCACCACCATCACCATCACCATCACCATCACCGTCACCGTCACCATCACCATCACCATCACCGTCACCGTCACCATCACCATCTCCATCACCGTCACCATCACCATCACCATCACCATCACCGTCACCATCACCATCACCATCACCATTGCCATGTCTGCTGTACGGTGGTTTTTCTTCTCAGCGTAGGTGTTGCACAAACCCAATACCGCTGGCACTGTGGCACAGCCCATCCCCACCCCTACCCTTGCCCCCCTCACCCTCACCCCCCTCGCCCCTCTCACCCCACCTCTCATCCCTGTCGCCACCACCACCCACCCATCCCCCCCAGGGGCAAGACGAATTTCTTTGAGAAGCGTGTGGGCGACTACCAGAAGGCGTCAGTCATGGCTGGGCTCAATGGCGCGCCGGGGCAGGGCAGAGTCTTCAGCACCGACGAGGACTTCTGAGGGGAAAGGCAGACATGTTTCCCTTGACATGGGACAAACGCCATTCGAGAGTTAATGGTAGAATAACCATGGTCAACTAAAAACGAGAATGGCTGGGGGACTAGTGTAAGCTGGCTGGAGCAAGTGGGAGTAGCGAGCTCAAGTATTGCTGGACAGGGTCTGGTAAAGGCTTGTTTATTGTATTATGATTGTCGACACGATATTTGTTTTCACGTCACAATTCTCCCTTCAGCCGCAGGTATAACACAGCAGAGAATTCTCCATTCACAAGATGTTAACCCCCAATCATAGTGGCCACCAATGCAGGGGATATGCCTAGAAATGCTCAGAATAAGTATGCAGACTAATGTGTTCCCCATAGACAAGGGAATATTACATACTGTTATAGTACATGCACGCTGGCATGAACCGAAAGAGATTTCATACAGAAATATATTGCAGCAACGAGCGATGTGTCAGCTGATATGGATACTGTTGTGTGCAAGCAAGCCAAGCAGGATCTCTACAATCGAGACAATTGGCTTACGGCATGGACACTAGCTCATTCACACCATTCGTTTAGATTGTGACACGACCTCAGAGGAGTGTGCAGTGCAGTCGTCATAGCATATCATAGCTCAATAATACAGCACACTAGATAGGGCAAATACATGGCAAGGGAACAAGGCTGAGCGGCCATGCTAGTTATCAAAGCGAGGGAGGGAAGGGTGGGCAAGTTGGAACAGAAAAATGCAAATGAGACTAGGTGGCAGGTCTGAAAGACCTGCCGATAGATGAAGGAGGTTGTCTCCTTTACAGCAAACTCCTCTTCTAGTCGAATCACAATCTGTAAATTTTTCATTACAAAAAATTTCTCATATCAACAACAGCTCCTGCCAGACAGCAGCAGCAGAACAGAGACACACGCCTGCAGTCAGGATTCAGGATTCAAAGGATCTCTTCCTCCCCAAAAACTCCGCATCCTCCTAACTAACACCCTATCCAGAGCTCTCACACCCTTCTCACACCGAACTCACATCCAACCCTCCTCTTACCTCCCTGACCCCCTCCCCTCTTCCCCCACCCTCCCAGCCCCACTGCCCACCCCCCCTCCCCCCCTTCCCCCTCACGGCCCTCCCAGCGCCGCCGCCCTCTCCTCTGCCAATCCCCGCTCTGCGGCAATCCGCTCTTCGGACGCCTTGCCCCCGCCCAGGTGCAGCAGCGACGACACGTGCGCCACCGAGGGGAAGCGCGTGAGACCGTCCACCTTGCTGGCGCTGTCCGCCTGCCCCACTAGGTGGTCCCAGCGCCCCAGCAGGAGGAACGCGAAGAGCAGCAGGGACGTGCCGACGCCCAGGGCGATCTCGTACGACTGCACAGGAGAGTGGGACAAGGGTGGTAGAGAGGCGAGGAGAAGGGAGGAGCCGGCGTGGGGGGAAATCGGGGAAGGAGAAACGGAAGGGGGGGAAGGGGGTTGTTTTAGAGGAAGTGGGTTGGCGAGGGCAGGGAGGGGAAGCGCGTGGGTCCACCTTGCTGCTGCTGTATGCCTGTCCCCCCAGGTGGTCCAAGCGACTCAGCAGTGGGAGCGTGAAGAGCAGCATGAGCATGAGCACGAGAATGAGCATGTGGACTTTCACCCCCCACCCCCCACTCGGGCCACCCCTCACCCCTCACCCCTCTACCCTCTACCCTCTACCCTCACCCCTCTACCCTCTACCCTCTACCCTCTACCCTCTCCCCTATCCCCTCTCCCCTCTCCCCTCACACCTCACCTCTCACCCCTGATGGCTCACCTTGACATTCTGGTCGGTTTCGTGCTCGTAGAGCTCGAGGCCCAGGAAGAGCACGTACCACCCCAGCCCCACGGCCAGGATGCCCAGCAGCCAGTGCAAGAAATACCACGCCACGCGCACCTGAGGGGGGTTAGGTGGCGCAGGTGACGGATGGGATGGGATGGGTTGGGATGGGTTGGGATGGGTTGTGATGGGATGGGATGGGATGGGATGGGATGGGATGGGATGGGATGGGATGGGATGGGATGGGATGGGATGGGATGGGTAGGATGGGATGGGTAGGATGGGATGGGTAGGATGGGATGGGTGATGGGATGGGATGGGATGGGATGGATGGGATGGGATGGGATGGGATGGGATGGGATGGGGAATGGGATGGGATGGGATGGGATGGGATTGGGAGATGGGATGGGATGGGATGGGATGGGATGGGATGGGATGGGAATGGGATGGGATGGGAGATGGGATGGGATGGGATGGGGATGGGATGGGATGGGATGGGATGGGATGGGATGGGGGATGGGATGGGATGGGATGGGATGGGATGGGATGGGGATGGGATGGGATGGGAAATGGGATGGGATGGGATGGGATGGGATATGGGATGGGAATGGGATGGGATGGGATGGGGGGATGGGATGGGATGGGATGGGAATGGGATGGGATGGGATGGGAATGGGATGGGATGGGATGGGATGGGATGGGGATGGGATGGGATGGGATGGGGATGGGATGGGATGGGAATGGGATGGGATGGGATGGGATGGGATGGGATGGGATGGGGATGGGATGGGATGGATGGGATGGGATGGGATGGGATGGGATGGATGGGATGGGATGGGGATGGGGGGATGGGATGGGATGGGATGGGATGGGATGGGATGGGATGGGATGGGATGGGATGGGATGGGATGGGATGGGATGGGATGGGATGGGATGGGATGGGATGGGATGGGATGGGATGGGATGGGATGGGATGGGATGGGATGGGATGGATGGGATGGGATGGGATGGGATGGGATGGGATGGGATGGGATGGGATGGGATGGGATGGGATGGGATGGGATGGGATGGGATGGGATGGGATGGGATGGGGATGGGATGGGATGGGATGGGGATGGGAATGGGATGGGATGGGATGGGATGGGATGGGATGGGATGGGATGGGATGGGGATGGGATGGGATGGGATGGGATGGGATGGGGATGGGATGGGATGGGATGGGATGGGATGGGATGGGATGGGAATGGGATGGGATGGGATGGGATGGGATGGGATGGGATGGGATGGGATGGGATGGGATGGGATGGGATGGGATGGGATGGGATGGGATGGGATGGGATGGGATGGGATGGGATGGGATGGGATGGGATGGGATGGGATGGGATGGGATGGGATGGGATGGGATGGGATGGGATGGGATGGGATGGGATGGGATGGGATGGGATGGGATGGGATGGGATGGGATGGGGATGGGATGGGATGGGGATGGGATGGGATGGGATGGGATGGGATGGGGATGGGATGGGATGGGATGGGGATGGGATGGGATGGGAATGGGATGGGATGGGGATGGGATGGGATGGGATGGGATGGGATGGGATGGGATGGGATGGGATGGGATGGGATGGGATGGGATGGGATGGGATGGGATGGGATGGGATGGGGATGGGATGGGATGGGATGGGATGGGATGGGAATGGGATTGGGATGGGATGGGATGGGATGGGATGGGATGGGATGGGATGGGATGGGATGGGATGGGATGGGATGGGATGGGATGGGATGGGATGGGATATGGGGATGGGATGGGATGGGATGGGATGGGATGGGATGGGATGGGAATGGGATGGGATGGGGGATGGGATGGGATGGGAGGATGGGATGGGATGGGATGGGATGGGATGGGATGGGATGGGATGGGATGGGATGGGATGGGATGGGATGGGATGGGATGGGATGGGATGGGATGGGATGGGATGGGATGGGAATGGGATGGGATGGGATGGGATGGATGGGATGGGATGGGATGGGATGGGATGGGATGGGATGGGATGGGATGGGATGGGATGGATGGGATGGGATGGGATGGGATGGGATGGGATGGGATGGGATGGGATGGGATGGGATGGGATGGGATGGGATGGGATGGGATGGGATGGGGATGGGATGGGATGGGATGGGATGGGATGGGATGGGATGGGATGGGATGGGAATGGGATGGGATGGGATGGGATGGGATGGGATGGGATGGGAATGGGATGGGATGGGATGGGATGGGATGGGATGGGATGGGATGGGATGGGATGGGATGGGATGGGATGGGATGGGATGGATGGGATGGGATGGGATGGGATGGGATGGGATGGGATGGGAATGGGATGGGATGGGATGGGATGGGATGGGATGGGATGGGATGGGATGGGATGGGATGGGATGGGATGGGATGGATGGGATGGGATGGGATGGATGGGATGGGATGGGATGGGATGGGATGGGATGGGATGGGATGGGATGGGATGGGATGGGATGGGATGGGATGGGATGGGGATGGGATGGGATGGGATGGGATGGGATGGGGATGGGATGGGATGGGGGGATGGGATGGGATGGGATGGGGATGGGATGGGATGGGATGGGATGGGATGGGATGGGATGGGGATGGGATGGGATGGGATGGGAATGGGATGGGATGGGATGGGATGGGATGGGATGGATGGGATGGGATGGGATGGGATGGGATGGGATGGGATGGGATGGGATGGGATGGGATGGGATGGGGAATGGGATGGGATGGGATGGGATGGGATGGGATGGGATGGGAATGGGATGGGATGGGATGGGATGGGATGGATGGGATGGGATGGGATGGGATGGGATGGGATGGGATGGGAATGGGATGGGATGGGATGGGATGGGGATGGGATGGGATGGGATGGGATGGGATGGGATGGGATGGGATGGGATGGGATGGGATGGGATGGGATGGGATGGGATGGGATGGGATGGGATGGGATGGGATGGGATGGGATGGGATGGGATGGGATGGGATGGGATGGGATGGGATGGGATGGGATGGGATGGGATGGGATGGGATGGGATGGGATGGGATGGGATGGGATGGGATGGGATGGGATGGGATGGGATGGGATGGGATGGGATGGGATGGGATGGGATGGGATGGGATGGGATGGGATGGGATGGGATGGGATGGGATGGGATGGGATGGGATGGGATGGGAATGGGATGGGATGGGATGGGATGGGATGGGATGGGATGGGATGGGATGGGATGGGATGGGATGGGATGGGATGGGATGGGATGGGATGGGATGGGATGGGATGGGATGGGGGGGGATGGGATGGGATGGGATGGGATGGGATGGGATGGGATGGGATGGGATGGGATGGGATGGGATGGGATGGGATGGGATGGGATGGGATGGGATGGGATGGGATGGGATGGGATGGGATGGGATGGGATGGGATGGGATGGGATGGGATGGGATGGGATGGGATGGGATGGGATGGGATGGGGATGGGATGGGATGGGATGGGATGGGATGGGATGGGATGGGATGGGATGGGATGGGATGGGATGGGATGGGATGGGATGGGATGGGATGGGATGGGGATGGGATGGGATGGGATGGGATGGGATGGGAATGGGATGGGATGGGGGATGGGATGGGATGGGGGATGGGATGGGATGGGATGGGATGGGATGGGATGGGATGGGATGGGATGGGATGGGATGGGATGGGATGGGATGGGATGGGATGGGATGGGATGGGATGGGATGGGATGGGATGGGATGGGTTGGTATCGGATAGGTTGCAAGGGGAGAAACAAGAAGGCATGTATGAAATGCAGAGCACCTAATGCGTGACATACCATGCAGCTCGCAGGTGTTGCGGAGCGGGTAAGGATCAGTAGGGATAGGTGGGATTGCAGGGCATGCCATGGCATGACAGCGGATGATTTTTGTCGGCAATGCTGCCATGCCGTCCCACCCCATTACTCCCTCCCGATGCCTGTCCCGCCCCACCTGTTCCCCTTGCGCGGGCGCACGAGGCCCAGCAGGGGCTTTTGCGAGCGGGAAGGTGAAAGCACAACCCTTTGCTCCCCCCCCTCCCCACCCAACCACCTCCCCCCTCCCCCCACCCCACACCTTATTCCCCGTGTGCGGGCGCACGAGCCCAGCAGCCGCTGCGCGAGCGTGAAGGTGAAGACGGCGATGGTGCCGCGCCTTCCCCCCCGCCATTACCCCCCAAGGACGCCCCCCAGATCCCTCCCCCCTCCCCCCTGCCCCCTCTCCATGCGTGTCCGCCCCACCTTGTTGCCCTTGTGCGGGCGCAAGAGGCCCAGCAGCGGCTGCGCAAGCGTGAAGGTGAAGACGGCGATGCCCATGCGCGCGTGCAGCGACTCCGTGGCCGCCTCCTTGCCGAACTTGCCCACGGCGATGAAGAAGCCGATGAACGCCAGCATCACCGCCAGCAGCTGCCGGGGGGGGGGGGAGGGATACGAAACGGCGGTGGGTGGGAGCGAGGGCGTGAGGGAGAGGGTGCTAGGCCACGAGGGGAACTTGCCCACGGCGATGACGAAGCTGATGACCGCCAGCTGCGGAAGGGACGGGGGTGGTCGAGAGGGGGGGAAAGAAACGGGGGCGAGGAGGGGGGAGTGGGAGGGAGCACGGAAGCGAGGGAGGGGTGGGAGTGCGCACCTGGATGCCCCAGAGTATGGCCAACCACTTAGGCGTGACGGTCTGCGTGATAGAAAAGTTTGGTTTGAGACGACGTCTCAAAACCGCACCTGGATGCCCCAGTGGATGGCGAACCACTTGGGCGTGACGGTCTGCAGGTGCCGCGCCGTGATGAGTCCGACGGGCATGAGCAGCCCGTACGACAGCCACATGAGCCACCCGTGCACCTGCGCGAAGAACGGAGAGCATCGCGGAGAATAGGACAGGGAAGAGGAAGGGAACGGGCATGAGCAGCCCGTATGGCCGCCACATGAGCCACCCGTGCACTGGGGATCGCCGAACAGGAAGGAGCACGGAGAAAGGGGATCTATCAGACGGCTGGGGGAAAACACGCGGAGCAAGAATGAGCAGCACCCCGTATGCCGGCCACATCAGCCACTCGTGCACCTGCGCGCTCCCAAAAAGGAGGAAGCGCGGCGAATGAGGATCCCAGGGCGATGCTCCCAGGACGACGTGATACAAGTCTAGTTTTGAGGCGCCTCAAAACTGGATCTCAGGGCGATGCTCCCAGGACGACTGGACGAGAGTAGCGAGCGAGAACAAGAGTACCGAGAGAAGCATTCCTGAGATAGTAACCTTTCAAAAGCCAACCGATTCAAGAACTGTGTGCGTGTGTGTGTTTTTTCTTCTTTGTTCTATGTTTCATTATTATCAAGGAGCTCCTCTCTGTCAAGTTCGTTCGCCGTCATTCTTCTCCCCATTGTTCACCTTGCAGTCGCTCGTTGTTGCTTTTCTCAAAACAGCGATGTCCGCCAGCAACGCAGTGCGCACCTGTTTTTGAGGCGCCTAAAAAGTAGTATCAGTTCAAAACAGCGACATCAGCCAGCAATGCAGCGCGCACCTGAAACAACGCGGGATCGACTCCCCCCTCCTCGCCCTTCGCTTGCCCCTCTCCGCTGGCCGACGGCGCAGGCGCTGTCGACGCTTCTGACGTGGAGTTTGCTGATGTGGAGTTCGCGGACGGCGAGCTTGCGGGCGGCGAATCGGCCGCAACGGCTCGGAGGCAGCAGAGGGCGATGCACGCGGTGAGGAATACTGAAAGAAGTAGCCATCTCGAGCTACGCGCCATGGCGGGCGAGGTCTAATGCCTAACGCTTATACTTCCGGCGAACGTTGACGGACGGAGTTGGATCGGGTAACCCTAGATACGGCCCGACTTCACAAAAAGGAGTTTTCTTATCGCAGAGTCGCACGGTCGAGAGGAGTCAGAGGGGACGCGTTATGCGACGCTAACGGGCAGCGCGCCTGGGGAATGCGGCGAGACAACTGATGCAACAGGTGCCAGACCGTAGGTAAGTAGCGAATTAAGTACCTTTCTAGCAGGATGTGTACTTCAGCAGTGGTGAGGCGGAAAGGGAGGGTGAAAGTAAGGTGCATGCAGCTCCAGCGGCATACGTGAAGTAGTCGAGGATGAAGGGCGGGCGCGTGAGAGATATTTTCTTGATCCGACGGCGCAGCAGACTTGTCAGCGTTTAGATCTGACAGTCCAGCTCGAAATCTGTTCGGGCTGGTGAGTCATGCCATTCTTGCTGTCCCGCTATTCACGCATGATTCCTGTTGACGTGAGGCAGGCTGACAATGAGCGACACCCTGGATGGAGGAATCGTATGATTGGTGGTAGCGATGGTCAAAAGCACATTTCGCTGTAAGAATTGACGGTGCGCGTGAGGTGGAGCTTCGTTGTCAGAGGAGGATGTAATCCACTACAAGGTAACGGTTTTGCTCTGCTTCGTGTTGTTCTGTTAACATAAGATGACAAGAACGTTGTCTTTTGAACGCCACAATTTTTTTCCAAAATGAAGCAAAATGGTATGGTGGTTAAGATGAAGTAACCGTGCATGACAAAGATGTGAGCCTCCTTGTGACAGCTAGTCTTTACACCAGCGCGTCCAAACCAAGTCGGAACGAACCAAGGAAAACGTTGATCCCTGGAGTCAGCCATTTGCTTGCAACCCCCCACTTTCTCGCCACAAGCACAAATACCAGCAGGTATTAACACCCGCCGCATGCATCAGGAAACGGGTTTTCCTAGTACTTGAGAGCCGAAGGATAAAAACTCAGTCAAGCGGAACCAAGTGAGCATCCCTTCAAAAAGCCACGCATGGTATTTTATCCTGCAGCGCACTCTTTAGTCTCAACTAGAGAGATGCAGTGCGGGCAATCTCCCGCTCCCCGCCCTGCTGCCGCTGCTGGTGCCTCTTCAAGTGCCGCCGCACCGACGCTCTCTCCGCAACAGCAACCATGGCTGCACTCATATGCATTGACGCACTCACGGCCGCCGCCCGCAGCTTCCCAAACGACCCTATCTGCTGCAGCTGGCCAACCTGGCTCTGCCCCTGACCCTGGCTCTGTCCCTGACCCTGGAAACTGCGCTGCCCGAAAGCTCCGGCTTGCAGCCGGCCCCGAGAGTGGGTGTGGGTTTGGGACGTGCGAGGACGGGGAGGGGAGTGAGCGTGGAGATCCACGGCTGATGCTGAGCTGATGCGCATCTGCCGCTGCTCGCCCTCCTGCACTGGGGATGTGCTCGGGGATGAGCCGGGAGAGGGGGAAGAGCAGGCCACGGCTGCTGCTGCTGACGGGGCTCTTACGACGGTGGTGCCCGCGTCGTACGAGAGTGACGACGAAAGGCTGCTTATGCCGTTGGGGGGTAGACGATGGAAGTGGCTGTTGTTGTCGCTGCTGCTGCTGTTACCCCTTCCGCTAATGCCCTTTTGGCCGCTACAGCTGCCATCCCCATCCCCATCCCCATCCGCATCCCCATTCCCATCCCCTGCGCCACCTCCTGTCTCACCACTACTGCTGCTCAACTCCCTGCTAGACCCATTTGTACCATTCACAATCGCACTGCCCTTGTCATTGCTCTCACCACCATTACCAGCAGCAGCAGCCCCAGCAGCGGCAGCCTCAGCATCAGCCTCAGCCGCAGCAGCAGCAGCAGCAGCGGCAGCAGCAGCAGCACGGGACGATTGGTACGATGCGACCTGCTGCTGCCGGAGCTCCAGCGCGGCGGTGACGGTGACCTTCTGGCGACGGCGCTGCTTGGCGATGGTGGCCATGGGCATGGGCCCCAGGCGGTCGAATGCCACCTGCAGCAGCACCTCGGGGTCGTACTGCTGCGCCGTGGCGTGCACCAATACCTCCACTGCCTCGCCCACGTGCGTCGCCTGCTGAAGCTCCGCCCCGTTCATCTGAGAGAGGGGGGAGGGGAGAGGATGGGGACGAGGAGGATGGGGACGAGGAGGATGATACATGAGCAAGGGCCCGGCGCATGACCATGGGCCACATCCCCTCAAGGGACTAGGATTGAACGGAAGTAGACGCAAAAGAAGAACGCGCACGACGAGGTAGAGGAAGGAAGAGCAAGGCTGGTGAAGGGCGATGCGACAGGGTGAGCGGCCCCAAGATGCAGTGCGCACCGACTCAGGTCGGGCAGGCGGGGCAGGTAGGGAAGGGCAGGCAGGGCAGGCAGGGCAGGCAGGGCAGGCAGGGCAGGCACGGCAGGCACGGCAGGCAGGCTGCGAGAGCGACGAGAGGAAGTGAGGAGAGGCGGACCTTGAAGAGCGCGAGAGCCACTCGGAAGAGGACCTTGGCACCCTCGTTGAACAGCACGTCCCACACCCGCAGAGTCGTCTGGTGGGGGGAGTTGGATGCATGGTGGATGCATGGTGGATGCATGGTGGATGCATGGTGGATGCATGGTGGATGCATGGTGGGGGCATGGTGGATGCATGGTGGGGGCATGGTGGGGGCATGGTGGGGGCATGAGGCAAGGGCGTGAGGGGAAAGGGCACGAGAGATGGGGGAGGTGGGGGAGGATTGGGAGAGAAAGCGAGCTAGGCGCAGTGGCACAGCGCTCGTTAGACAGAGAGACAGAGAGACAGTGTCCACGCATTTCAGAGAGGAAGCTCTTGGCGAAGTCGCAGAGGAACCACTCGGCAGTGACGACGAGGGGTAGAGACAGAGCGGAAGGTAGGACGCAGAGGCACAGCGTTCGTTAGCGGGATGGCGAGGTTCGAGACAGAGAGACAGAGAAATGCACACACCACGCACGCATGCACGCACAGACGCACCTCGGAGGGGAAGCTCTTGGCGAAGACGCAGAGGAACCACTCGGTGGTGACGAGCGATGGCTCAAACTGAATGGCGTCCAGATGCGCTGCCAGCCTGGGTGGGGGTGGATGGGGTGGGAGGGCAGGAGGGAGGGAGATGAGAGGGAGGAAACGACAGGCCATGCGCGACAGGAGACTGTGTGACGAGCGATGGCTCAAACTGAGTGGCATCCAGATGCGCTGCTAGCCTAGTGGGGGGCAGGGGGGAGAGTGGGTGCGGGGGATGTGGGTTGAGGGGGGTGGAGGGGAGAGACGCGTTGACACACACATAGGGTTGATGCTATTCCAAATACTAGAACCCTTGATGCATGGCAAACTGCCTGTCTTGCCTGGGCCCAAGTGCTTGGTCTGATGGGCAACTGAGGACACACCAATGCAGCAGGCGTCTGCCTATTCTCCCCCCCACCCCCACCATGGTTGCTTCCCCAGCTCTCTCACTTGAATTGCCTGTTATCCTCTTCCCTCCACCCCCAGTCCCCCTTCCCACTTTCCCCTAACCCCACACCCCATGTTTGCGCTGCCAGCTGTCGCGCTCACTTGGGCTACTTGCGGTGCAGCAGGTCCTTGAGCACGCGCTGCTCCACGTGCACGCGAAACAGGTCCTCTCCCTCTCCCGCCTCCCCCCATATTCCCCCCCTGTTGGTCTCACTTGGGCTGTCTGCGGTGCAGCAGGTCCGTGAGCGCCCGTTGCTCCACATGCACGCCCAATGCCTCCCCCCGCCCCCCCCCCCTACCCCCCCATTCCCCTTGTGAGTCGCTCACTTGGGCTGCTTGCGGTGCAGCAGGTCCTTGAGCACGCGCATCTCCACGTGCACGCCAAAGAGGTCCTCGGCGAAGCAGTCGTCGTACAGCACGTTCTCCACCAGCGTCGCCAGCATCCAGAACGCGTCCTCCTCGCTGCGCATCACCAGCAGCAGGTACGCCGCCATGTAGTTCATGCCCTGGCGGAGGAGGGAAGTGCGGGGGAAGGGGGGTTGGGGGGGAGGGTGGGCAGAGGGTGGGCAGAGGGTGGGCAGAGGGTGGGCAGAGGGTGGGCAGAATGGGTGGGAAGAGGGACGAACTCTTATGTGTGTCCCTGAGAGGGCAGACCGCACCGCACTGCAATACCCGTATCCCATCTTATACACTTCTTATACCTGATTACCTGGAAGGGGAAGTGGGGAGGTTCCTCCACATCCCAGTGTCCGAGGTGTCCGAGGTGTCCGAGGTGTCCGAGGTGTCCGAGGTGTCCGAGGTGTCCGAGGTGTCAGAGGTTGAACCTGGCACTGGCAGTATGCAACGCACGCATATCCCTCGACGCGTATGCCCCCCCACCAGCACTCCACATGATTCACTGAACCACTGCTCAACAGCACAGCACCCAACCGCCCACCCGCCCACCCTAGCTCTGGTCCCCAAGGCGCGACCTGGAAGTACCTAAAACCCATCTCCGTGCGTGAGACCAAGCCAATCCCAGTACCTGGCAGTACCCCACGTGAGTGTCTCTGAACGAGTACGCCACCAGCACTCTGCGCAGCGCTGCCAGCCCCTCTGCTGTGTCCATGCGCGGGTGCCCTGGGAACGTGCGGTGCAGGTCCTGCCGTGCGCGCACACAGAGAGACACACACAGACAGCAGCAGTGGGAACGGCAGCAGCGGCAGCGGCAGCAGGAGCAGCAGCAGGGGCGGCCGCGGCAGCGGCAACGAGAGGTTGGGCACAAGAAGAGTGGGATAGAAGGAGCGCTTCTGAGGGAGACGATTGAGATGAAGCAACAGCAACGAAAAAATGCATAGAAGCAAGCCAATCCAGGCCAAGCCAGTCGGACCCACGTTGTCGATCTGCAGCCGTCTCCTCCTTGCCCACGGTCTCCCCCACAAGCACAAGCCACTGGTAGTAGTCCACCAGCGCCAACTCCCCAGCCAACCCCTTCTCCCCAACCCAAGCATCCATGCAGCCCCGAATCCCCTTTCCCAGCCTCCCTTTCCCCCCCACCCGCACACCCCCCTCCCACATCCCAGCGTTCACTCAAACACTTCCTAAAAAAAACTGACTGAGGCGAAACAGCAGTGGGGAAGGCAAGTCCATGGGGGGGACCTACATTGTCGATTTGCAGCGTGCGTGCAGTCCGTCTCCTTACCTGCGGTCTCCCCCACAAGCCAGTTGTAGTAGTCCACCGGCGCCACCGCCCCAGCCAGCCCCTTCTCCCCAATCATCTTCGCAACCCCATCTCCCTATTTCCCCACTTTCCCAACCTCCCTTCCCCCCCCCCAAACCCCCACCCCCCTCCCTCATCTCCATGTGCACTCAGCCAAACCCTCAGAAATGACAAAGCAGCAGGGGTGAAAGCAGCGGACCGACATTGTCGATCTACAGCGTGCGGCTCTTTCCCCACGGTCTCCTCTCCCCCACCAGTTGTAGTAGTCCACCGGCGCCACCGCCTGCTTGCGCCCTGCGCCCGACACCGCCTTCCACACGTGCGCCCTCAGGTGTACAAGGGCCCTCTACCCAGCCAACCCCTCCCTCCTCCCCAACACTATCAATCATCCATGCAACCCTGTCTCCCCCCTCTCCCAACCTCCCTTCCCCGCCCACCCGCCACCCTCCCTCCCTCATCCCAACGTGCACTCAATCAAACCCCTCAGAAACGACTGACTCAGACAACGCAGCAGGGAAGAGAGCAAGCAAGCCAGCGGACCCACATTGTCGATCTGCAGCGTGTGGTCCGTCTCCTTCCCTGCGGTCTCCCCCACGAGCCAGTTGTAGTAGTCCACCGGCGCCACCGCCTGCTTGCGCCCTGCCCCCGACACCGCCTTCCACACGCGCGCCCTCAGGTGCGGCGGAATGCCCTTCCTTATCAGGCGCTTTAGGGTGGACGAGGACACGGCCCCGCTGCCAAACGCGAAGCTGGTCAGTGATGAGGCGCCGGAGGAGGACGAGGGCCGCGAGGAGGAGGAGGAGGAGGAGCGGGAGGAGGGCCGGGAGGAGGAGGAGGAGGGGCGGGAGCGGAGTGGAGAGGCGGAGTGGCGGGAGCGGAGGGGGGAGGCGGAGTGGCGGGAGGGGCGGAGCGGGGAGGCGGAGTGGCGGGAAGGGACGGAGGATGCGTGGGGGCGTGTGTGGAGGGGAGAGGCAGAGGGCCTGTAGGGGGATGGGGAGGAGGAGGAGGAGGCGCGGGGGTGGAGGGAGGAGGAGGCGGAGGAAGAGGAGGAAGGGGTAGAGGAGACGGCGTTGTTAGTGGGGAAGGAGAGGAGAGGGGAGGAGGAGGAGGCAGTTAAACAGCACGCCAAGGGTGGGGAGGAGGAGGAGAAGGAGGAAGGATCTTGATGGGAGGAAGTGGCGGAGGAGGGAAGACGCTCTGGTGCAGTTACAGGGGGAGGATCGGACGAGGTGCTGACTGAAGCACTAGTGCTAGTACAGCAAGAGCCATCGCCAGTGCCAGTGCCAGTGCCAGTGCCAATAGTAGTGGTGGTGGTAGCGGTAGTGCTGGTATTGGTGGGAGCAATGGCAGGATAAGGCAGAGAGGGCGCGGAGGAGGAAGCAGAGAGAGGAGCAGGCCCGTGGGCGGAGCCTTCCCTACTAGAAGCCTCGCTGCGAGACAGCGACGCGGCAGACAAGCCGCGAGAATGCGAGCTCGGGTCTGAGTACGTGTGAGAGAGCGAGTGCGAATGGGAGTGAGAGTGAGAGGGAATGTGAGATAGAGAGTGGGAGTTGGAGTGGGAGTGGAGGAGCGATGTGGTGTGGAGGGATGCAGTGGTGGCGATGGCGGCCTGGGTGCGTGCGGCCTGCGTGCCGTCCTCCACGTGGAACCAGTGCGGGCCCCGGTTCGCCTCGTGGCTCCACCACACGCGGCTCTGCTCCTGCGCCCGCTTCTCCACCTGCGAGAAGGACGGGGGGGCGGGATGGGGAGGGAGGAGGAGAGAAGGGGGAGAGGGACGGTCAGGGGGGACGGGTGAGAGGAGAGAAGCAAGGGGGGAGGAGGGGATAATGAGGATAATAGAGGGAAGGAGATGAGGAGGGTGGCCTGGGTGCGTGCAGCCTGCGTGCCGTCCTCCACGTAGAACCAGTGCGTGCGGGCCTTGGTTAGCCTCGTGGCTCCACCACACGCGGCTCTGCTTCTGCGCCCGCATCTCCATCTGAGTGCGTGCGAGGAGATGCGAGGGAGCTGGAGAGCGGGAGAGCGCGAGAGCGAGAGGAGGGAAGGCCATGGGGAAGGGGAGGGGGAGGGGGGGGTGGGGGATGGATGGCGGGCTGGTGGCGAGTACTGCAAATTCACCAGTCCAGCCCAGCCCGCAGCCCGCAGCCCGCAGGACGTGTCACGTGGTGTGGCATCATCCGTCCGCGCGAAGCAAAGAATGCAGCTCACAGCTCATATGCTTGATTCCATAACGCCTCAGTTTATCTCAGGTCTCTCACCCTCTCCTGCGTTTCCCATCCCCCCTCTCTCCCTCCCCACCTCCCTCTTTCCCCCTCCCTTCTTCACCCCTCCCTCCTCCCACCCTCTCTCACACACAGTTACTCACTTCAACGCACGCACACGCACACTGTGGGCGAACCCCTGGCCCCTGGTTCGCACCTGGTTGAGCACGATCGCATCTTGCAGCGAGACGAGCATCTCATCACATCACATCACATCACATCACATCACATCACATCACACCGAGCTGCCGTTTGAGTCGAGTTGATGCAACAAACAACGCACCTGGTTGAGCACTATAGCGTCTTGCAGCGAGACGAGCGCCTTGAAATCGTGCATGTCCGTGAAGCTCACTTGCATCACACCGCCGCCACCGCCACCACCACCCTCATCCATTGCCACTGGAAGCATGCACTACTCACACTACACACACACGCGAGCGCGCGCGCGCGTCAAACCCTCTACCTGTCCACTCTCACCGCTTCACATCTGCCCACCTCCCTTCTACCGCCGCCTTCCCTCTGCCGCCTTCCCTCATCCGCTGCCCTATCCCTGCGCCCACACGCGCGTTTTCTGATTTGTGAACTACACCTGCTGCCTGCTGCCTGCTGCTGTCGGTGCTGCTGTCGGTGTTGCTGTCGGTGCTGCTGTCGGTGCTGCTGTCGGCGGTTCTGCTGCTTCCTAACCGGGGCTTTTAAAACCCCCAGTTCCCGAGTGTAGGCTAGTGCTCTACTCCCCACGGGCCAAGCCAAGCCAATGTGCCAGCACTGCTGCTCTCCGCCTCCTCTCCGCCTCCTCTCCGCCCCCTCTCCACCTCCTCTCCGTCTCTTCCGCGGAGACTTGGCTTGAGGGTGCTGCTTATAGGCGGCGTCCGAGATAAACGGACTCCGAGAAAGACGAGCACCGCCGAAACGGCGATTCAATAATATACTTTGCGAACAGCTAGCTAGCAGTCCCTGCTTGCTTCTGCTGCAGTCCGCGCTGCTACCGGCCCTACTGCCTGGCGCAAGGTGCTTTACACGCGCGGAGCTCCTCAATTCCTGCTTGGCGCGGAGTGGAACTGGCTGGCCTGGCCCCGCTAGGTCATATCGTTGCGGTTGAATTTTGAGTCGACTACGGTAGCACCCAGCCCTAGCGCCACGTCAAGAGATACTGCGGTTGCAATGGCATTCAAGGTAAGGTAGGAATTCCCGAGATACCGCGCAAGCTCGCGAGGGGGATATTTCCCCACAAGGGCGAACGGAATAGTTGCCGATCGCGGTACCGGGGGCACAAGTTAGGGGATGGATGATCACGACACGAGAAATTAAGAGACGGGATGGGAGATTAGCGAGGAGAGGAGGAATGATCAAGCAACGGCCGAGGAGCTGACGGAGGAAGCACTAGTTCCTGTAGTTCGACGGCAAAGCGATCGACGAAGCGGTTGACGGGCACAATGCGGCTCACTGTAGGGGTATCAAGTAGCGCCACGATAGCAGCGTCCCCTCGCAGCGCGACACCTGCCTCTGGAGTCGCAAGAATCGCGCAGTGCGGCCGATGATTATACTGTACGCGCCTTACAGCAGGCAGCCTACACGCTCATTGCACTGATCACAGCTTTTGGTTCACGCGGCCGCAGAAATTGTAGAGGAACGAAGCCTAGCTGCGCTTCATCCTAAGAACTCAAAGCTGCCACCAATGGGGCGAAGTGTAAGGGCTCCTGCAGCTATGCTAATGCTTTGCACTGTACTGCACTGTACTGCACTGTACTCGACTGTATTCATACAATTCTGTTTACTGTACATCACAACTCACCATCATCTGCTCTGCATTGCTCCTGCGGCCGTTCGTTTCTCCAGGTCCGGGCAGACATACGCGATTCCGAAAGGGACCAATCTGCCCGCTTGGAGAATACCGCGCTGATGTACGACGCGACGGCAGGCGGAATGCTGCGGTGCGGCGCACACTTTTGAAGAGAGAGATACACATGATGTCCTTTTCAGGCCTAGTTTGTTTCCAAGAGGGTGCTTCAGAGTCGAGCACTTCACTTTCACGGGCGAATTGGGCCAATACAGGTCGTATTCCCGTAGTGCAAAGCCCAAAAATGTTGGAATGAGGCACTCAACGCATAGGGTTGTACGCCTCAGGCAAGTTTGCTTGTATTGTTCCTAAGAAAGTAGGAGCGCTATTGTATGCATAGTTAGCAGGGGTGAGGATTATGACTTATCCGCAGCTGGCAGGGCCGGGACGTTGTGGTTAGTTGCGACAGGGTCTACGTTGGCATGCCGTGAGGTGTTCGCATGACGTATACACTCTGGGTTTTAGGTGCGCATGTTAATTGATGCGTTTCCATTAGAACAAAACAAGATTTGACTCTAAATTGTCAATTGATTATACTATAGACAAACTCAATACTAATGAAGTTGGAAAAAAATGAAGAAAAACGTAAAACAATGATAAAACCACAATCATTTCAAAACCATAGCATACGTCGACAAGGAGGAGTACTTGGCGGAACTCAGCATGATTTCGTTATCACAATTGGGGTGTATTGATTGGCTAGCGTGGTATTTCCGCATCAACCCATGAGTAGGAGGATCGCAACAGTGAGATTTGTTGGTATTTGAGACACATTGCGCTCACAACTGATCGTCGACCACTCATGAGTGTATAGACTTCGAACACACGATTTCTAATGGTGGCAACATATGCTTCACATGGTGAATGCGATTGTTTTCATTGGTCGTGTGCGTTCATGGGTGTTGTACCGAAGGAATAATTGCAGCTGAGAAGACTTTGTGCTTGTCGTCGTTGTACCAATCGCATATGATCTGTATATGGTAGTCTAGTTACCTTGGCATTTTCCTGTCTGAAGCGGGTGACCATTGTTGTTTGTTTTGCGCTCCTCATGCAACAGTGTAAGGTATGAGAATGTCCCGTCTGCACGTTTGGATGTCTCCGTATCAGATGTGGTAACTGTTGCAGACATTTGGGACTGTGTCGACTGGGTTCTTTGCCCGTGCGTTCATACCAATGAGACTGTAATTAAACTAATAGCTTTTTAATAGACGAACAATTAACTGAACGTCAGGTGTACGAGGGTGGGGGAGTCGAAAGGGCAAGTTCCGTCGCGGGGGCATGGGGCTCCTATATGCGGGCTAAGGCGGCCAGGGAAGGCGGGGTGCCTCGCTGCGCGGACACCTGACCGCCGCGGGAGCCAGAGTGTCCGGGCAGACCGCCCGGGTCAGTGCCATTTTCTCCCAGTGGCTGGCGGATTGGTGGTCATGCGACATGGATGGTTGGTGGGATGGATGGATGATGGATGGTGTGCAGTGGGGCAGTGATGATTTTTCAGGCAATGGCACGTGTAACAAAATGAGTACACTTCTCCTCATCTGGTGCATTACGTTGCTAAATGAGTGCCTCCTCTTTCCTCCATAATTGCTGATTACATATTACGAATTTCCAACCGCAAACCCTATTTCCTTTTACGAAAATATGGCACGTTCCTACGTGATACAAAGGTGGCTATATTATTTCCCTTTCTATGCACCTTCTAGCCTAACACAACCTTGTAGGTACATTCCATCCTCGTCCCGTTCGTCCCTCGTATCATCTTGCAGGTTTAGAGCTTCGTCTGCTTTATGTTGCCTTCTTTCAGCAGTATAAAGTGCTTCTGGTGGACCATTCTTAGCCGAACCCTTTTTTGAAGCCATCATCAACTCATCCCAGAAGATTCTGCGCAGACGCATCATCGTCACAGACCCAGACTCACCCAGAGTTCTTCCCAGTGTCGGCATCCCTGCCATTCTCTGACCCGCCCACCCTGCTTCCATCGGATCATCAGCAGACTTACGCTAGGGAGGAATCGGTCTCGGAAGCCAAATCTCATCAGCAGCGTTTTCTTAGACCCACAGAAAGGAAAGACGCTCCATGGCGTTCGGAACTCGAGAACCGTTCGAAAGGTCCGGTCCGGGAGCGGCGGACACTGCCGCAGCCGTCGCAGCGGCCGCAGCGGCTGCTACAACAGAGGAGACCGTTGGGAGAGATGAGACGGCGGGCAAGAGGAGGCCCGAGAAGGCAGTGGCAGCTCCTGATTGGCTGCCTGACGGCTGGCACGTGGTGGAAAAAGTCCGCGTGTCAGGCAGTTCCGCTGGCACGAAAGACAAGGTGACGACAAGCTTAGTCACGAAGGATTGGTCGAACCCTCGCTGTCGTCCTCCACCTCATCCCCTTGAACCGCCTCTTTCCACTCTCCCACCAACCACACCACACCCCACCCCACCCCATCCCATCCCATCCCATCCCATCCCATCCCACCCCAACCCCCAGAGACGGCAGGCCCGTCCGTTTTCTTCGCTTGTGTCCTCGCCGTGTAGCATGCCATGGTGGCCTGTTTCCGCGACCCATCTCATTTTTTTTGCACGGATACTGCCTCCTTTTCGTTATGCATCCCTGCAGTACTATCACTCTCCGGATGGCCGAGTGTGTCGCTCCAAGGCAGAAGTGATGGCTTATCTGCAGGGGCGGAAGCCCAGGAAGAGGGGAACGACAACCTCGCAGCAACCGCAACAGCAGCAACAGCACCAGCAGCAACAGCAGCACCAGCAGCAACAGCACCACCAGCAGCAGCAGCAGCAACAACAGCAGCAACAGCACCAGCAGCAGCAGCAGCAGCAGCAGCAGCAGCAGCAGCAGCAGCACCAGGAGCACCAGCAGCACCAGCGTCAACAGCAGCAGGAACAGTGGCAGCAGCATCAAAATGCTTCAGCACAGCCTTTTTTCACCCCGTGCCCTCTCACCGCCCACACCACCCACGCCACCCACCATACACGCACAGGCGTAGCCAGCATGCCTGTGCCATCGTCACGTCGTCTGGGTTCGCTCTCGTCCACTGGCTTCACCGTCACAGGGCAGCCAGCTGTCGCCACAGCTGGCGTTTGGAGCGCTGCTTCTCGTTGCCAGAACGCTGCTGGGGCTTTTTGTGCGGCCGCTGCTGGTGCATTTGGTGCGGCCACTGCTGCTGCTGCTAACGGGGGAGTGCCTGCCAGTTTTACGTCATCACCTGTAACTGCGGTATTTGAGGGCGTGCACGTGCATCATCGGCACATGGCGCCAGCACCAGCACCAGCAGCAGCAGCAATACCCACCGTTTTTGCGAGACCAGCAGTCCCGAACGAAGCAAGCAGCGTGCATCCGCATGCTGCTGGCGTCTCCCACCCCCGTCCCTGGCACTTCCAGGCTTCGCTCGTGTTCGGATTTCCTGCAACGTGCCCCTACCCTCTTACACCTCCTGTGTTCCACGCGAATTTCACCTCCCAGGCACCCCTGATGGCTGCAGGACGTGGTGCTGTGGGGAGAGAAGGGATCGAGGCAGTGGTTATGGCAGCATGTGCAGAGGAGGCGATTGAGGAGGTACCGGGGGAGGTGCGTGTGCACGTACAGGAAGAGAATGACGTACGGCAATCACGCACAGGTGTAGCACATTGTCACGCACCAACAGAAGCAGCAGCAGGAGAAGCGGCGCAAGCAGCGGCACTCAAGTCAGGTGGCAATGTGTTTGAGGCACGGCGGCGCAGCGCGAGGAGGAAGCAAAGGGCGAAGAGGGATTGGCAGGATGAAGAAACAGAATCAGAACACACAGATAGCTGGATCGGGGAAGGGGATTTTGAACTGGCGTGGAATGGGAATGGCGAGGGAGAGGGGGATAGGAGTGGTGAGGACGGGATATGTGGTGGTGCAGCCATGGAGGAGAGAAAGAGGGATGAGGCGGGTGGGAGGAGAAGGGCCGAAGGGAAAGGCGTGAGGTCGACGGTGGGGAGGACCGGACAGGGCATGTGGGAGGGTGGAAATGAGAGGAAGGATGCGAGCGTATTGAAGTGTGAGAGTGGTCGGACGAACCCTGCAGGGATTTTCACAGAGAGATCAGAAGCAGGCATGCAGTGGTTGATGAAGGTGGGAGGGGGTGGATGTGGGGGAGTGGATAGAGGAGAGATCGAGGGATGCCAGATGGAGGTGAGTGGGGATGTGGGTGCAAGTGCAAGGGCAAGTGAGCAAGGGCAGCGTATACAGGTAAAAGCTGAGGGCGCGTAGTTGTATGTATGTATGACGAGCAGAAAGATCGGCAGGAAGCAGCTGCAGGCGCATTTTACGTGTATTCAACTCTGGCGGAGCAGCTCTAGGAGGAGGGACGTTTGCTGCCACAGTGACAACAGTGTCAGTCAGCTACAGCAACAGTGCCAACACCACGCGGTCCACAGTGCCCAAAGCTTAGTTCATGAATCATGATGATGCATCGATTGACGGGCCTTGTCGAACGAAAGGATTGTAAGCCTCTGTCTTCTTAGGAAGCCCTAAGTAAATTTGTGTTTAAATGCCTATGCTCTAATTTTGTAGAGATGTGCTGAAGGTTGGCCAAAACACCTACAAAGGTTAACTGCATTATTGTTGAGTAAACCTGCATTCTAAAGTTGGTACCGAACATGCCTCTAGAGGAGGATGCAGGAGAGCATTCGCGGGTACTGTACAAGAAACATCTTGGACAGATACGCGTGCAGTAAATGCTGTCATAATGGAGCCAAACTTCACACGTCAACGAGGAGGCGCCAAGAACAATCCACCAACCTATGAATGGCTTGGCTCTGTCTGAATTGCACAAGCTGCTACAGTACTTCCGGCAATTTGGCCAAATCGGCACGTGACACATGTGCCTGGCTAACATCCACAAACGAATTCTTGCACCTTCCGTTCGTTTTGTGGCTTCGGCCAAACGCCAGGCCCAACTGCCAGCAAAACATCCGCCCACGAGTAGGAATCTGGCGTACTGGGGGCACGCAGCAACCAGCCACCCCATCAACCAAGGGTGACGAGTGTAGACTTGACCGACGACTCTGAGAACTAGGCTTTCGTTATTTCAAACATTAATAGGGGCGTGTCCCGCGTGTATGTTTCATGCTCAACACCCCATGCGACTGTTTCCCTTCGTTATTTGGACCTTCTGATTCGGAGAGCATCTCTTCTAATTGTAATCAGACTTATGTGCCGGACACGCCCTGAGTATGGTCGTTCAGAGTGTCCGAGCCCACTGACACAAACGGTACGCTTCCCAGACGAGTTGTCCTCTCAGGGCGTGTCCTAAGCGTTTATTTGGCTGACTGTACTGCCGTAACGTCACAAAACACACTTCAACAAACGGTACTCGATTACGAACAGCGTGCTCAAGTGTTCCCGCTGGTCCTAGAACAAATTGTCGAAAACCGAAGTGTACCACACGAAAAAAACCTGCTATCCGGTTACTGGTTTTTTTTTTTTTTTTTTTGGAAACAGATGCTCCCCGATTCGAAGTCTGGAAACCTTTATTGCACGAGATTTGAGTGCGTGCGTTTGCACATTGTCTTGGCTGTGGTTTGGACCGTCGAATCAGGAATGCCCCTGAACGGCTTCAAAACGGCCAGTCGATAGTTGTCCATAAAGATCATCCGCAATTTTCGCTTAATTTCGGATGTTTACCCTTCTGTCGTGGCCTCAGAAAGTGATTTCCTGCGCTGGCTCGCGCCTCGGGGCTTTAGCGAAAATCCTTGGGCTTCGCAAATCTCGTGGCCGCAAAACACGGTCAGCTGGGGGACGCGCGCAGTTCCACGAATCGTACCCCCTTCAGCATGTTGAGGCGTTTTCTGCCGGTACTGTCACATGTCCGGCCTACAGCCCTGGACGGCGTGCTCTCTAATATGCGTCCTGTTAGCATGTACCTTCTGCGGTTACATGCTAGAATCGTGTAACTGAACCGTCAAATAAACTGTAGATAAACTCTTAGGACACGCCATCGTTGGATGGCTGGAGGTGGGTGGGTCTTCCTTCCCTCCCTCTCCTCCTCGAATCCTGCCGGAGAATTTCAGGCGAATGCGGGTCTGCTGTGTGGGCAAGCTGTCAGAAAGAGCTGCAGGGCGTCAGGGCATGCCCAACTGTCAACACCCGCGCCCAACCACCCGCAGCCTACACCCTGTCAGACAGGGTAATTTTTGTCGATGCATTTTTTTCTGTACCGACTCTGAAACAAACCATTTTCCTAAACAGAAGAAAGTATTGGCGGCGTTATTATTTTAACAAAGCCTCGCTTCAAAGGCTGGTCGCGCCCTAGGTGGGTCTTGCGGTGGAGATTTCAAGTGTATATGGTCACCCAAGTGTTTGCCTGTTGCAAAACTTGCACTGAAGTGTATTTCACGCCCCGCCACCGCCAGCCAACCAGCCATGACAAGCCCAGTTAATTGGCGTTGATTGTGATTGCGGTGTCGACCACATCTGAGCCGTCCAAGGGAAACTCTTCCACATCATCCTTCCTTCATTGTACAGTCCAAGGGGCACCCCCCACCCCCCATCTACGCTTCCCCCTCCCCCACCCCCCCGCCATCCCTTCCTTCTTCCCTCCTCCTCCCCCCACCGACTTGAGCTCCCTCGCGGCGCACCGAGCGTTGGGGGAAAGTTGAAAATAAAAATTTGCTTCCCCTTCTTTCCCGCCCTCCCTCCCTCCTCTCCTCTCCTCTCTCTCCTCTGGCTTCACTTTTTGCTTCATTTCACTTCACGTGCCTTCACTTCACTTCGCGTCATTATTGAGACTAGCCTTGCACTGACTGCCCTCCTTGCTCTCCTCCACTCATCCTGCACCTCGCTAATCATCCAGCAGCGTTCCCCTCCCCTCCCCTCCCCTCCCCCTCAACCAAGCCAAACCCGAATCCAATCAGGCACCAGCTTTCGCTTATCCGCGAACTCACGTCTCGGCACGTCAGCTCACGTTTTCGCTTGCTGTCCGAAACGGGCCCAGCCTTTTATCCCTGATGTGTGAGTTGGGTACATTCCCTTGAATCGAACCAACCGCCACTTCTCGTCGTGACGTGAGCTAACCTAGGCTCCATGCTCACCGTACACTCGCCCCGCTTCTTTTGTTACTTTCTCCCACCTCCTCACACCATTCCCTCCTTCCCGTCCTTCCCGTCCTTCCCGTCCTTCCCGTCCTTCCCGTCCTTCCCCTGAACACGCTGCTATCTCTCGTCCGTTCGTTCCCTCGAGAGCGCACCTTCCTCTTGACTCTCCATCCTCCTCATATCGACGTCTCCGCCAGTACTACTTCCCGGAATGACGGAATGCTAGTAGATTCTGGGAAAGCACCGCTCGCCATCGCTACGATCCGCCATCCCTTCGCGCGGCTTCCACAATCGCAACCTCCCCGCCGCTTCTCCCGCTCCCAGCGCATCGCATGCTTCCCGTCCCTCCCTTTTCTCCATTTCGTGTATCCATAGTCTTCCCGAACTCCAAGGTAGACTCAGACTCCGACTCAGACTCCGACTCAGACTCCGACTCTGACTCCGACTCAGACTCCGACTCTGACTCTGACTCAAGTGCTCCTGTCGTGCAGCAGCAACCACCATTCACCTGTCGCTCATTCAGCCTTCGAGAAGGCGTTGCCGGAGTGTCACTGAGGCACAGACACACTAGCTCGTTATTACCGCCGCGGAGAGTGTCGACGCGTGGGACGCGGCACCGCTTTCACTGCTACTCCATAGTAGTACCCCTCCCTGTATCGGCTTCGGCCCTCATTATTTGCGCAAAAGTGCACGTACTCTCGCTGAGTGTAATGAGTCGATTTTTGGTATGAGTCGACTAAAAAATCGACTCATTACACACGCAAAAGCGCACGTACTCTCGCTGAACCTTCAGGTTTAAAGAGTTCCCCCAAGTGGCATCTAGGCCCAACTAAGGCCCAGAGCCTCGCGGGTGACGTTGGTCAGTGCATCTTGCTACTTTCGTGCTTCGATTGATAGCCCTCATTCCTCCGTCGCCCTCAAGCCACCTGCTACCACTACCCAGCCAGGCACTGTTGCCGAAACCAGAGATTCGAGAACCAGTGTCCCAGAAATCGGAGTCCCGGAAACCGTTGTCACGCGTCGTCACGCGCTCCACTAGAAACTCCCCAGAGCATCGTGAGCCATGGCGGATGCAGGCGCGGGAGGCGGCGGCGGCGGCGGCGGGGTGAAGCCGCCGGGTGAAGTTAAAGTGCTCGTGGCGGAAGACAATCCCGTCAGTACTCTCGACTTCCCCTCTCTCTCCCCGTCACTCCCATCTCTCCCCGTCCCTCCCGTCTCTCCCCGTCCTCCTCCTCTCTCCATTCTCTCTTCTCCTCTCTCTCTCTTGCCTCCTTCCTTCCGCCTCTCTCCCGTCAGTTCCGCCTCTCTTCCTCTTCCCTCTCTTTTTCTCTCCTTCTTTATTAACTCCCGCATTTTCCGACCTTTCTCCTCACCGACTCGCTCGCCTCTTCCTCCCCTGCCTCGACTCACTTTCCTTCTCCTACTTTCTCCTCCTTTCGGTCTCTCCGTCTCCCCCTCACCCCCTCTCCCCCTCTCCCCCTCTCCCCCTCTCCCCCTCTCTCCCTCTCTCCCTCTCTCCCTCTCCCCCACTCCCCCTCTCCCCCTCTCCCCATCCACCCCCCTTCAGGTGAACGTGATGGTTCTCATGTCGATGCTCAAGCGCCTCGCCTTAAAGCCCATAGTCGCCAAGAACGGCGTCGAGGCCGTCGAGGCCGTCGAGAAGACCAAATTCGATATTATCCTCTCCGATATATGCATGCCGCTCATGGACGGCCTCACTGCCACGTGTCTCATCCGCGAGTACGAGCGCACCGGCGTCTTTCCGCGCGAAGCCATCGCTAAGGCGCGCGCGTCCGGCGCGCCCGCGGGGAACGAGAAGGACGGCGCAGCCGCCTGGAAGCCCGGGGAAGGCGCGGAAGCGGAAGCGGGGGGAGGCGGAGGTGAAAACGGGGAATTCCGCCCGCGCACGCCCATCATCGCGGTGACCGCAAACGCGCTTGCGGCGGACCAGGAGCGGTGCGCGGCGGCGGGAATGGACGCGTTTTTAGCCAAGCCTGTTAATTTCCCGAAGCTAAAAGAGCAGCTGGTGAAGTACGGCGTGCTCGCGCCGGAAGGCGCGGCGGGCGGAGCGGCGGCAGCTGCGCCAGCGGCGGCTCCCGCCCCAGCCGCGCAAAGGGCCGGCGGGCGGAAGCCTGTTATAGAGGATTCGGATGAGGAAGAGGAGGAGGACGAGGAGGGGGAGGAGGAGGAGGAGGAGGAGGAGGAGGGGGAAGAAGAGGAGGAAAGGGAAGAAGGGCCAGGGACGGGGAAGGGAAAACGAGAGGAGGAAAAAGAGGAAGAGGAGGGGAGTGAAGGTGAAGAAGGGGAGGAGAGCGAGGAGGAAGAGGAGCGGGGTAGGGGCGGAAGTAATCCGATTGGTGTTGGGTCAGCCGCTAGTGCAGCAAGAACCACGCCAGGTGGAAAAGAGACATCAGCAGCAGCAGCAGCAGCAGCGTCGCCACCCAAGGCTCCCGCAAAAGCGGCAGGCGGTGCAGCGAACGCCAGGCTGGCGCAGGCCGCACGGGACGAGAGCGATACCGAAGGAGATGACGAGGAAGAGGCGGAGGAAGGGGAGGAAGGGGATAAGGAGTCCAAGGATAGAAGCAGGTCCCCTGCTGCCCCGGCAGCAGCAGCAGCAGGAGGAGGAAAGGACGCAGGAGCAGCAGGAGTGAGTGGCGCGAGGGAGGCTGTAGCAGCAGGTGTTGCTGGTGGCAAGAAGCAGGAGGAGGAGCAGAGGAAGCGGAGGGATCGGCAGAAGAGCATGGAGGAAGGGCTGCTGGGTGCCCAGGCCGCTCTGGCTGCTGTGAGGGAGACGAAAGAGAGAGAGATGGAGGAGGAACGAGCGAGGGAGAGACGGAGAGTGGAGGAGAGGGAGCGGGAGAAGAGGGAGAAGGAAAGAGAGGAGGAGAGGAAGGAGAGGGAGCGAGAGAGGGAGGAAAAGAAGGAGAGGGAAAGGGACGGCAGCAGTAGCAGGAGGAGGAGCGGTAGCACTAGCAGGCACAGGGAAGGGCGGGCCGGGGAAGGCAGCAGCAGCAGCAGCAGGGGCGAGGGCAGGGGCGAGGGCAGAGGAGGGGAAGGCAGAGGAGACGATTTGAACAGGAGCAGCGGCGGCAGCAGCGGCGGAATGACTCACGCGGAGCGGAGGGAGCGCAGGCGCGAGAGGAAAGCTGCCGAAGCCACTGCTGCTGCTGCCGCCGCCGCTGCAGCCGTAGCGGCCATGCCAGGTTTCTCTGCCTCTTCCTCCTCCCACCACCATCACCACCAGCATCAGCAGCGGCACCACCGCCAGCAGCAGCAGGAGTCGAGGAGTTCTCCCTTAACCAAGGGCGTCCTGAAAGGTAATAGTCTTATTAGCGGGGAGGAGCCGAGCCAGGCCCAGGTACCATATGTGCAGCAGTGGGTGGAGCAGGTAGGTGCGCTGGGGCCCTTGGCTCAGTACGGCCTCACAGGCATAGTTGACGCTGCTGCGGCGGGGGGAGCGGAGGGGGAGGCAAGGGGTGGGGACGGGATGGGGGGAGGAATCCGGGGAGGGTTGGGGGAACGGGAAGGCGGAGGGGGAGGGGGAGGGGGAGGCCTAGGAGGGCGCGTATCCCCCTTGGGGCGCAGAGCGGAAGGGGGTGGTGGCGTCGGGATGGGGGCAGTGGTGGGGGCTGGGGGGGAGTTGGTGTGGAGAGAGGGAGGGGGTGACGTAGGGCTGGCGGCGGTTGGGAGTCCAGCACTCGGAGTTAAGGAGAAGCGCTTATCTCGGCGGCACCGGAGGCTCTCTGGGGAATTTTCTTTGGAGGGAGTGGGGGAGAGAGTGAGGGAGAGGGAGAGGGTGCATCACTCTGGGCCGCTTCCTTCTGCGTCGACGTCGCTGACTGCTCAGCTGCAGGCGCTGCAGGCGCAGCAGGAGCAGCTGCAGCTGCAGCTGCAGCAGCTGGAGCAGCAGCAGCAGCAGCGCGAACGGCAGCACCAGCAGCGGCAGCAGCTGCTGCAGCAGACGCTTGAGCAGCACCAGCAGCACTCGCCACCACCACCTCTCTTACAGCAGAAGCAGCAGCAGCAAATGAACGCGTTCTCCTCTCCTTCATTCCCATCAGCAGTGACCAAAGAAGGTCAGTTCCCGGATTCTCTTATGTATCCTGGTACTCTAGGAGCCTCAGCAGCAGAAGCAGCAGCAGCTATGGCAGCAGCAGCAGCCGCAGCGGTAGGTAGCAAGGACTCGTCTGAGGAGGAGGACGCAGTAGCCCACCGGTATCCTCCCCTCATCTCGCTCTCCTCCTCCTCATCCTCCCTCTCCTCCCTGGAGCAAAGCTGCAAGAGCGGCACGAGCAGCAGCAGCAGCAGCCGCAGGCGCCGTAGCTCACTCTCTCACGCAGACCGTTACAGCAACGGCAATGGCAGCAGCGGCAACAGCAGCAGCCACGGTGGCAGCCTGCTTTCTGCTGCCACTGCTGCTGGTAGGCCTGCTGCTGAACTTGCTCGTCCTGTTGCTGGTCCTGGTGCTGGTCCTGGTGCTGGTGCTGGTGCTGGTGCTGGTAGTGTTGCTGGTAGCGTTGCTAGTAACGGTGCTGGTAGTGTTGCTGGTAGCGTTGCTAGTAATGGTGGTGCTAGTGTTGCTTGCTCTTAGCATTGCTGGTGGTGTTGTGAATATTGTTGCAAGCGGGTAGTGTTCTTTCACCAGGAGATTCTCTGGCAATTGCTAGGTCCCTCAGCTTTCCTCCCCTTCTCCCCTCCCTCCTCCCCTGTGCCCCACCTGATGCTTATTTCCCCGGTTCCTGCTCTCAGGGGTCACTTCAACAAACCCATCCGCCGCAGCAGCGGCAGCGGCAGCAGCCGCCTATGCTGCCACGCTAGCTGCGGCACAAGGAGGGAGAGGAGGAGGAGGAGGAGGAGGAGCAGGTGGTATGGTGGGTGCAGGGTTGAGGCAGGATGGCATGTTGTCCCCGATGCAGCTGCAGCAGCAGCTGCTCCTGCAGCAGCACCAGGAACAGCAGCAGCAGCTGCTGTCACGCTCACAGCAGCACGCCATGGCTGGCAGCAACGGCAGCTATGACAGCTGTGGCATGGGGTTGAGGATGGAGCAGGTGGAGGGAGGGCCAGTCAGAGAAGCATCCCCTGGATCCCACCGACTGAGAGGGGGAGCAGTGGGTCGAATGGGGGGTCTAGATGGGGACCTGGGAGGAGGGGGAGGGGGAGGAGGAGGTGGAGGTGGCAGTAGTGGGGGAATGGATCCCCTTGGGGAGCATGTGGGGGGTCCTGCTGTGTACGGGGCCATTCTTTGGCCGCATGGCTCGGGCAGGTTGCTTCTGCCCGAAAAGGTTTCTCGCTCTCATTCGCACGGGAATAGCCGCACCACCAGGCACCACCGGGAGCAGCAGCAGCAGCAGCAGCAGGAGCGAGGGGGGGGCAGTGGTAACGGCAGCAGTGGGGAGGAGCTCGATGGACATGCTGATGTGGCTCGGCGCTCCTACTCTCACACCCACACTCGCTCCTCCCACTCCCACTCGCACTCGCACTCTCCCGCGCGCTCCCACAGCCCGTCTTATCTAGGAATGAATGGGGATGGCATGGCAAACGGCGGAGGACGGGGAGAAGCAGCAGCAGTGGCGGCAGCGGCAGGTGGGGGCGGTTCATCTCTCATATACGGAGCTGGGAGTAAGTCTATGAGTTCTCTAGGGCGCAGGCAGTCCAGCAACCTCTCGGCTACAGCTGCGGCTGCTGCGGCTGCGGCTGCGGCTGTGCCTCTTGCAGTGAGGGAATCTCTGTGGGAGGAGAGCAGTGGCGGGGGGTCTAGATCCAACAGCCCCTCAGCTCTGCGCCTGCTGCAGCAGCAGCAGCAGCAAAAGGGAGGGGTGATGATGATGGGGCATGGTGGAATGGACGGGATGGGGATGGGGATGGGGGGAGGGCGAGGGGAGAAGTGGGCGAGGGAGGAGGCGGTGGTGGCAGCACGGCTGGAGCTGCAGCAGCGGGTGCAGCAGAGGAAGAGCAGGACCGCTGCAACACCGATTTCTGCTAGAGTTGTTGCAGATCTGGATCCCGTTTCTGGTATGGTGATTAACCCATACCACTAGCATGTAGGTAGGGGGATCATTTGGCATAGCAAGCTCGTTTGAACACTGCTCCACATAAGGTAGAGTATAGTATATCTATTGAATTTATGCATGATTTAGCATTTACCCAAACTTGATTGGGCTAGTATATCAAAACGAGAAAGAATGACTAGAATTATGCAAATAGGTTGGTTTTGTCTAAGGGGTTGTACCATCTAAGAGTACGCACCTACCTAGCTTATACGATTGACAAAATATGTTTGACACACCCCGTAGGCTAGATGAGGGGCAGTGCCTGTCAAGAGACACATAGCTCAGGGTTGCACTACTACCTTAATCCCCCGTATATAACACCCTATGGTGTATATAAAAATTCACTAAAAAAATGACTGGGTGTTAACAGTGGCCCGGAAAAATATAGTGCCCATGTGTTATGTAAAATGCAATTTGAATTTGAGTGTTTTAGGCCATGTGTGTTCAAAACTGCGCGGAGCGACTGTTAGCGAGGTACAGCATCCGCTACGACGAAACTCACAAACCAATCGTCGTTGGCCAATCCTTGCTGAGTGCTATAGTCAAGGCCAGGTTTGTGCGGCACCTGCGACCGTCATGATCGCGACAGAATCCGCGACTTCGACGGGAGGATTTCGCTCGGGAGGATTCTGACCGTCAAATCACAACAGAATCCGCGAATTCGACGGTCGAAATCCTCCCGAGTCTTGACCTTTGCTGACATTTCCATTTCGCGCTGCAACTTGTGTTGATGTTTCTGCCCGTTTTTTCGCTGCTAATGGTAGTTGACATTGCGTTTTTCATCCTGTTCGTGTTTTTCTCAATCGAGCTGAGCTTGAAAAACTACGAAATACTGTTCTTTGCTGCATAAAACGAGGAGGGTGTTATGTAAAATGCAACCCCCGAAAAGCGGGTGCTCTCCTAAATTCACCCTATCATAAGCTCTCCCCCGCATAAACCACCCGCGGAGTGACTATTTCGGCGGGTGTTATATACGGGGGATTACGGTAGTCCAACCTCTAAGGCAGGGGTCCGAAGACCAGTCAGCAAGAGTACAAACTGAACAAGAGCAATCCAAGGCGGTACTACTAGTCCAGCCACTGCGACAAGTGCCACAAGGCCAGTCAAGATCCTAGCAAGTGAGAAGCTACAGGAACTAGACCAAGCCGTACATAGTGCCATTGATGCTCTGTAAGCGCAAGCGCCTTCGTAAAGATATCAGCTGTGTTGGCAACGGATGTTAGAATGAGAGAAGAACTAGAATGGGAGAGTACAAGGGAATATAACCTAGAAGTTGTACCCTCTAAGACAGAAACCTATACTGTCTGAAAGAAGGTCTGAAAGAAGTTCACCCCCTCACGCTGACTGAAACCTCTAGCCTCGTAGCGCGCCTTGAACACAGGCGGCTCTCCAGGAGGGCGCTTCACCTTGAAGAGCCAGCGGCCATCGACTACGTTCACCCCAGGTGGGGGAACTGCGTCGACATAGGTGCCGGTGGATCTCCAAGATGCCATCTCCTGCTCCATGGCAGTTATCCACTAAGAGGCCCAGGGTCCCGAGACCGCCTCAGCGTAAGTGCGAGGGGTCGGGATGTCGAAAGTGTCGGGGTTACCCTCAGGGACTAGCAGCATGGAACAGAGATGGGGAGCAGCCTCGGCCAGGAAAGCAAGCTCGTAATGGCGGTCCTCCAGGACGTCACTGCCGAGGGCAGGAGCACCCCCGACAGACGGAGGACAGGCAGGGTCGGAGACCAGAGCGGTGGCGTAGTCAAGGCGGCCGGTAGAGGCGAAGTCAGCGACTGCAGCGACAAGCGCGTCAAGACGCGAAACTAGAACAGACAAGTCAGTAGCGAGAGAAGCAAGGACCCGAGGAACAAGAGGACGAGCGGCATAAAGGTAGTTAGACAGAGGGGGAGGCGCAATAACAAGGGAGGACGGAGGAGGCGACGGCAGGTGGGGAGGACGAGACACGTGGGAACGAAGCAACATAGGGTGAGAGCGCGGGACAGGGGAGACACGGCGAGCACGGGAAGGACGGCGAGACTAGACGTGAGACGGAGGCGTCGGGTCAGGAGACAGGGGAGGGGACTCAGGAGGGGAACGAGGTGGAAGACGAGCCGGAGTCGAGTCCGGGGGAGGGAACACAGGGCCATAGACAGGGAGAGGAGGAGACGACAGGCGAGGCGCAGATGCAGGGTCAGGGGACGGAAGTCCGAGCAGGCGAAGGGTTGACACCGGCGGTGACTGCGGCTGCAGTGGCACAACACCGACACCGGGGCCGCAAGCTGCTCCACGGCTACCTCCGGAACACTCCACTCCTGCACCCCCAGAAGGAACACTCGCACAGCCCGAAATCCCTCGAGCACCGGTACCACCCCCAGGCCCGCCGGGACAAGCCACAACAGGAACCCCGGGACCAGTACCCACCCCAACGCCAGCACCCCCAGAGTCAACGAACTGCTGCTACGACAGTTGCGGCGACGGCGGCTGCAACGACGGCTGCAGCGGCGGCGGCGGTGGTGACGGCAGCTGCGACAGCGCGTCTACCATAGAGACCCGCAGCGGTGCTGCTGCAGATCGCGCAGGAGGAAGTACCGCAGCTAGATGTGCTTCGCTCTGCCCTCCAGTCGAGGCTCCTAACATAGGAGGATCATGGCCCTGTTGTCAGCGTACAGGACTGGGACAAAGCTAGGCCGCTCACCTAAATCTGTGAGCAAGAAGGTCAGCCAGCGGAGCTCCTGTGCCGCCATGGCACCGGCGTAGATCTCAGCCTCACAGCTAGACTGGGCAACAGACGACGAACGGCTGTACCAACACGAGACGACGTCTGCACCAAGGCTAAAGCAGTAGCCCTGGGAGGACCTGAGTGACTCAGCGTCTGTGTGACCTGTAAGGACCACTGGCCTGCGTCCTCCTAGCACTAGCCCCATGCCCGATGTCCTTGCTAGATAACGCAAAACCCTCATAGCGGTCGACCAGTGCTGCGGTCGGTGTCTGCCTGTGGCCACAGAGCGAGCTAGGATGCTGAAAGGGTATGCGAGATCTGGACGAGTGCAAGTCATCAGGTAAATGAGGCAACCCACTAGCTCAGAGTGTGGACTACTAGGCTCTACAGACTCCTAGGGGACTCGAGTCGAGAGCCTGTGATCTACTGGCAGAGGTGTGGGCTGTGCAGAGGAGAACTGAAGGCCGAACCTCTGAAGGACCTGACGCACCAAGTGTGACTATGTCTGAGTGATGGTGTGCGCTGCTCTGTCGTTGGAGATTTGCAGGCCAAAGTAGCAGCGCAGCTCTCCAAGGTCATTGCAGTTGTTTCTCCTCAGCAACTCAGCCTTCACGGAGGCCAGTGCGTCTTTGTCTGCTGTAGCAAAGATCAGGTCGTCTGCGTAGACAAGGATGTAGAACAGGGTCTGGCCTGAACGAACGAAGAGCGAAGGCTCTGCAGACAACGGGAAGAAATGCAGGTCAGCTAACGTACGAGGCAGCGTGTCATGACACTCGCGCGGCGCCTGCCGCAGGTCGTAAACCAGGCACCGGAGGAGCCACTAGGTCCCCGGGGCGAAGGTGCCGATGAAGCTTGGCGGGCGACGCAGGTAGACCTGCTCGTGCAGACTGCCCTGAAGAAACACTGTAGAGAAGTCGATGGAGTGCAACTCGTAGTCACGCTGTGCTGCTACGTCTTGCAGCGCCCGAAAAGTAGTCATCTTCGAGGACGGGGCGAAGGTCTGAAAGAAGTCTTTAGCTACATAGCGCACCTTGAACACCGGCGGCTCTCCAGGAGGGCGCTTCACCTTGAAGAGCCAGCGGCCATCGACTACGTTCACCCCAGGTGGGGGAACTACGTCGACGTAGGTGTCGGTGGATCTCCAAGATGCCATCTCCTGCTCCATGGCAGCTATCCACTGAGAGGCCTAGAGCCCCGAGGTCGCCTCGGTGTAGGTGTGAGGGGTCGGGATGTCAAAGGCGTTTGGGTCACCCTCAGGGACGAGCAGCATGGAGCAGAGATGAGGCGTGGCCTCGCACACGAAAGCAAGCTTGTACTGCCTGTCCTCTAGGACGTCAGTGCCGAGGGCAGGAGCACCCCCGTCGGACGGAGGACGGGCAGGGTCAGAGACCAGAGCGGTGGCGTAGTCAAGGCGGTGGGTAGAGGCAAAGTCAGCGATGGCAGCGACAAGAGCGTCAAGACTCGAGACAGGAACAGACGGGTCGGTAGCAAGGGAGGCAAGGACTCGAGGAGCAAGAGGACTGGCGGCACGAAGGTAGTGAGAGAAAGGAGGCGGAGCAACAACAAGCGAGGACGGAGGAGGCAACGGGAGGAGGGGAGGACGAGACGCCTGGGAACGGAGCAACATAGGGTGAGAGTGCTGAATAGGAGAGACAGGACGGGCACAAGAGGGACGGAGAGACCAGAATTGGGATGGAGGCGTCGGGTCAAGAGACACAAGAGGAGACATTGGAGGAGAACGAGGGGGGAAACGAGCCGGAGACGAGTCCGGCAGCGGAAACACAGGGCCGTAGACAGGCAGGGAAGGCGGCTGCGGGGGAGGCGCAGGTGGGTGGTCAGGGGAGGGAAGACCGAGGAGGCAAAAGGCAGACACCGGCGGGGACTGCGGCTGCTGTTGTTGCTGCTCCACGCTAACACCAGAACCTCGAGCTGCACCACAGCTACCTCTAGGACACTCCACGCCAACACCCCCAGAACAAGAACCCTCTTCAGCACCGGTGCCACCCCTGAGACCGCTGGGACAAGCCACGACAGTAACCCCATGACTAGCACCCTTCCTAACGCCCCCTCCCCCAGAACTCGCGCATCCCGGTGGCCGCGGCGGCTGCTGCTGCTGCGGCGAATGCAACGGCAAAGGAGGGGACACCAAGGCGGAGAGAGGCGGCGAAACTGAAGCTGCTAGACCCCTGGAGTCAGCTGACTCCTCAACCGGGACAAGTGACAGGAGGGGAGTGACATGCGACACACCAGACAGGGCATGACGGGATGGGAGAGGAGCAGGGGCTGCCAGGGGAGTGGGAACCAGAAACAGGGGCGGGGAAACCGGGAGACTTCGGTGGAGAAAGCAATGGTAGAAAAGGACAGACTCGTCAAAGGTGACGTTACGCGAGTGAAAGAAGCGGTGAGAAGGCGGGTGGTAGAAGTGCAAGTCAGATGCGTCAAGGCGGAA